AGTCCTCCCGTTGCGTGAACGCAGCCGTGAGCCTCCCGACCGTGCGGACCCAGACACCCTTTACGCCCTCCGTCTCCATTGCGCCCCGGAGTTCTCCTAACGACGGCATGCTGCTTCCCGAAGGTGTCGCTGGGATTCCAAGCGGTCCCTCCAAAGTATGTCTCCGTAGCGTCGTGCTGTATGCGAAGTGCGCGTTCGCGTCCGGGTGTGTGGGCTGAGGTTCCTCATGGTGGTCTCCGGAGAAATGGGAGAAGTATGCCGATGCTGGAGGTGATTCGCTGCGGTACTGGGCGTATACCGGAGCACGGGAACTCGCCGAGTACGTTGCACGACCGGAAGAGGAGGACGCTTGGCCGGGTCGCTTGCGGTCCATAGCGAGACGAAGCACCGAGGAGAGTTATGCGGTCGACGAGTGTACCCACAGTCCGTGCCAGGTGAGATAAAACGCAGAATGAGTGCAGAGTCGGTCTTGGAGGTAGCAGAGCAAGTGGTGGCAGCCAAGTACTTTCACGCGGAAATAGATACGGTCCGACAAACATGCACGCAAAATGTTTGGCCAACGCCGGGATCGAACCGACGACCTTGGCGTGTCGTGGAACCGGAGTTGTCACTATATTAGCACCACGCTCTAACCAACTGAGCTAGTCGGCCATGACACTAGCCGTTGTGGGTGTTATATCATCAGCTTTCTTATCCAACATGCCCTTGATCGTTTTCAGATATGTATCAAGACAAACAAATGCTCGACACGGCGTACACTTTCTGACGTACGTGAGGTGATACGACAACGGCTAGAGCATGTAGTTGATACAAGGTCGCTATGTCAGGACGCAGCACGGCTTTCAGCTACTGCAGTTCAACAAGACGCGACCTGCCCTGAACTCAACCCTAATTCGCCTTGTTGAACTGTTTCCCAATGTTGCCGATAGCCAAATAGCCGACGCACCAAGCAGGAAATAGCAGCGACGAGCCAGCGACATCCCACGATGACAGCGCGTACAATATACATGAACGTGCCTGCTGTACGGCCAGAGAAGGAAGAAAGCTTCGAGGTCATATTCTTTTTCACCCCTTCACTTCGCCACTGAACGTCTCTAATTCCCCTTCAGGAACGGCGCATCATTGACTATCTGCACGCGTACAGCACCACTGGTCGGCCACCAATACCATGTCCGCAACAGCCCACTGACCCGGCTCAACGCGCTGCCCTTGGTTACCCGCCATTGTTCGAACCATACTCGGAATCAGAGGGTGGCGCCGTTGCTGCGGTGAACGGCATTGCAACAATGAGTAGCGCAGCACCAGCCGTGGCCAATCTCGCTGCACAGGCCTTCCGTTCGACCGAAACGACGGAGTTTGGCACGAAGGCCTCTTACCAGAGCCTTGTCGCTCAACCCGAGTACGCGTGCTACTCGCCTGAGGTAACGCACTCAACCCGTGCATCAATTGTACGCATACTCACCCGTGATGGTCCTTCAGGAGTGCCGTGTGGAAGCGTACCGATCGGGGAAGAAGTTTGCAGCGGACGTTCCATCTGCACCACAACGTCGTAAGGATGACCAGCTTGAGAGGATCGCCGCACTGACCTGTCTCCCCAGCGCCGCTGCTCTCTTCCATATCTATAAGCGCATCACAGTCGACACTCCCCCAGGCGGACAGCCTCCAGAGCGTCACCAGCATGCCGCCTTACGACCAGCACAGTTTCGAGGTGGGATGATCTGTGTTGTCGATGTGTTTACAGGCTTATCTGAGATAGGAGCTGCGCCTTGCGTGCTTGAAGGCGGGTCGCCCGCTCACTTCTCCGGAGATCATCTCCCAGAATGCCGTGCTAAGACTCACAGTCTAAAACCTCGGACAATGGTCTGGTCTGCAGCTCCATCATGATCCTCCGCATACCCTGTACGATCGACGTTGACGAGAATGCCCTGGAATTGTATCAATATCATCCGTTTCTTGGTCTCATCTCGCCCTATCTGGTCTTCGCTTCCACTCGCCTTGGCTATCTGACATCGGGATCTGCCCCTCATGAATCAGCACGTCTCATTATGTGCGTGGTTACTCACATCGTGCGCAGGTGGCCTGTACATGATTCCGGGTCGCTGAGGGCCGATATACTATGGCGAACTGCCAGTCCAGTCAAAGACGACTACCGCAGCACGTTGCGCGCCCTCGGAGGCTACCGCCGTGCATATTCAACACCAAGTTTGAGCGAGTAACGTGTGCTTCGTTCTATCTATCTAGAACGTGGTTCGGTGTCTTTCATGCCCACGACGACTATGGCGTTGCTCTTGACGTTTCATGTGCGCGGGCAGAACACCGTCGCGACTATCGACAATGCATCTCCATAATCCTCATCGTGTCTTGCGTCTACTCAGAGTCGTACGCACATTGAACTTCTTTGGCAGCGCAGGCTAGAGTTGTGCACCTGAAGCCAGTCATACATTCCGAACTACTGCTACAGCTAAATAAATAATATATACAGGAGATCCAAACACGCTGCACCCTGATGCCGCTTTTCTTCGGGAACCTATATGCGTCCTCTTCCCTATCGTCGTCATGCTCATCCTCCTGTGCAGAAGGCTCCTCTGTCTAGAAATGGGAGGCGAGGAGATGGCCTACCGCGACGCCAAGTAGCTTGGCTCCTTCCATCAAGAGGTCGCCCATCCCTTCATGTGCGTCTTCATCACGGTCTTCGCTGATCGAGGAAAGATCTCCCGAACGTGTAGAGCGAGACCGCTCAACACCGGCCATCCTTCAAAGAGCCCAATCATACAGAGTTTCTCCGATTTGATCAGATAACTTCGATCCCCAACGCATATACAGATTCGATATAAGTACGTTCTATGAGATACAGGTATGTATAGGCTGTGCAACAATGGATATTGATACATGAGTCTCTAGGCTCTAGGTGATGCAATACACAGCGCTCTCGGCGCGAAATGACCACGGGCCGACGCCCGCAGGGCGTCAAAGATCTACGCCCTCTATTGACGACTAGCGACCGTGGTTAACCACGACCAGCCGCGCGCGATCTTCTCGATACGCTCCACCTCCTCCCCGCTTACCTCCCCCTTCCATACGCTCAAAATGCTGTCTTCCTCATCAATGCACCTCAAAATCTCCTCTGCCCCACGCCCAGCGACGAACGAAAGATAACAGCCAAGCACACACATCGCGTCCGTCGGACGACCAGGCGGCGCAGTGACCAGCACTCGGACGGTCGACTGCTCAGGCATTGCCGCAAGGGTCTGCGGGAGCGACTCGCCCAAGAAGTCACGCGCCGCGCGCAGCTGCGCGTCCGTCAGCGCGAGCGCCGCGCGCCCTTCTCGGACTCGTGCGGTTTCCGGAAGGACGAGGCGGAGGCGTTGTGCCTTCAACTCAGGGTCCCAGCACCGCTCAGCACCGTCCGGCGCGTGCGCCTCCTCAGCGGCGTAAGTCATCTCGACGACATGCGTGAAGTCCTCTTCGTACGCCCAGCTGCTGCTCGCCTTGGACCGGTCGCTGAACGCGACCCAGAGCGCAGGGATGATGGCCTGCAGGTGCGGCTCATCTGCCCTGGGCGGATTGGGCGTCGGGATTGGAATCGCAGGAGTCTCTGGCTTCGGCGCGGACTTCTGCCTCACGAGGGCTTCAGGATTAAAATTCTGGAAGCGGGGCTTGGGGTTGCGCCGGCGTGGGAGATTGCTCCTGTGGGGCTGGACGTGGCCCTTGGGCGACCAAGGCCCGGGCGGGATGACGTTGACGTTAGCGTTGAATGGTGCTTCGATTTGTAGCGTCAAGGTGACCCCGCGACGGTCGCGCATAGGGTGGCGGATGGAAGGCGCGGGAGGAGGGAAGACGCTGAGGGGAGTGGTGGGGTACTTGCTCGAGGACCTCGTCCTGGTCGGGATGGCGAGGGGCGGCAGTGCAACTTGTGTAAGGGCCATGGCGGCGATAGTCTACGAGAAGGTATCGGTGGGCGATAGGAACGACCGGCACGCTGGATAGCGAGAGCTTTGCTAACGTGCAGAAGGGAGCCGATAGACGATGACGATAAGGAAGAAGCAGGTTAAGACGCCGTCAAGTCGCAGACTGTGGACAAGATAGGTGAGTGGGAGATAGTGCAGAATACGTAGGACGCCTTACTTATGTAGTGCACAACACGAGGTGAGGTGCCGCAGCGCGAGCCGCAAACACGAGGCAGGCGTTGGGGGGCAGTAGACTAATCTAACAAAGTGCGTTTGTCTCGCGCTGTGGCTGGGTAGGGTGCGTGCACACTCGTTTCCGCTCAAAGAAGTCTCTTTATATACCCCAGAGTTCTGCGCAACACGATGCAAGGGTAACCAGAGTAATCTGAACTGACCACGATGCCGAATCGACCCCTACCCGTATCCGACGGGGGTCACTTAGGCTTCCGGCCAGCGCTCAGGCAAGATTTCGATCACCCAAAGGCTTTGGGGCGATTCATGGGTTGTTTCTTGAGCTCATCAAGAGCTATCGAATTGGCATGTGATCGAACGCAGGCGGCTTTCCCTCGCTCAACCTGTCCAGTCGTAGATCATAATCCATGATAGCGTTGACCACCTGGTCTTTGTCTCTGTGACGCGCAGCGGCCCAGTGCAGGCAAGCAATCCCAAGCACTCTAGTCCATCATGAATTCTGTTAAAAACACCGTCAGTATACTTGTCGATTGCAAGGCAGGTGATCTGCTTGATCTGCCAATCGGATACAGAATGCAGACCACACATGCTCTTAGCGGAATCAAGGAGTCTCCCAAATGGAACCAGCTGCAGGTGCTGTCGCCCTCAAGACTGTGCCGGTGTCCAGGCCAGATTTGGATGATCAGCGGTTCTCAGTCGCGAATCTCATCCGCCCTCCATGGGCCGTATTATCATGTGGCGCGACCTCGGAACGGACCGTCTACCCATCCCGAGGAGACGCTTCCCAATCCAGAAGTCACGACGCCTCGAAGGTCTTGGCATTGCGCGCCATCAGACATCAGATGTAGCCCAAAAAGGCCATGACGGTCGTCAGATTCGTAGTGCTATGGTACACATGATCCCAGTTGATCCCGAAGTCAGCCCATGTCGTAATCCGAGAAAGTACTTCCGAACATTCAACCCGACGCCCCATCCCAATCACGCATGTCTCGCGCTCGACGAGAGCCTGCTGAACAGTCTCGACCATGCCCCGGGTTGAGCCTCCGCCTCCCTCCGCGCTGCAAGCTCCTTCGCCCGCGCGTCGGCTTCCATCTTCGTCTTCTGCTCCTCCATCGCGTTCTTCATCATAATCGGCCACTCCCACGGCTGGCTGCTATCCGGCAGCGAGTTGAAGTACTCCCATCCTCCAACCCCTCCCCAGTCCGTCCCGTACTGGTCCATCAGCTCATGGATGCTCGTAACGACGTTGTCGGGGCTGACATAGCCGCCGCCGTTGGACGGGTTCGTGAGTACGAGCGCAGTCAGGCGCGGCGGGTCGATTCCCTGGTCGTAGTTGACGATGTCGATGTACTGATCGTCAGGGAAGAACGTGCCGAACCCGGAGTAGAACTGCGCGTTGTACCAGGAGATGAGGTCGCCAATGTTGTGCTCGAGCTGGATGTAGTCGAACCCGGATAGGTTCCCGCCCTCGGTGAGCGCGGACGCAACGGGCGCAAGGGTGATGATGAAGTCGTCGCCGAAGTCCGCCTTGAGCGTCTGGATGAGGTGCGTGATGGTTTCGAGCGACACCGACTGCTCAACGTCCAGGTCGATACCGTCGAGCTTGTACGTCGTTATCACGTCCTTCAGCGCAGGGTAGTAGGTGTCGAAGAGGGAGTCCACCAAACAGTCGTATGTACCCGCCGCCGCGCCACCAAGCATGCCGATCACCTTCGTCCCGTTACCCTGGAGCTGGGCGAGCTCGGGCCACATGGGGTCAAAGAAGGGATCGGCGGGCTGGTTATTGTTGAGGTGAACGATGTCAGGGCCGGTGTGGCCCATGTTGAGGTGGATCGCGGCGAGGAAAAGGTGTGTGACGTAGCCGATGAGCGGGAGCACCGAGACGTACTGCCCGTTCTGGTATTGCGTCTGGTAGTACATGACGACACGGTTCGCCACCGCGAGAGAGACCATGATGGGCGGGCGGAAGGGGGAAGGGACGGGGTTAGGCGGGGCGGGCTCGGCCTACCGAGGCTAGCTGCCTTTCTATCAGCTTTATACCCGGCTTGCATTGGCAGACGAGCAGAGAGATGTCCATCCGATACAGGGAAATGCGTTGCCTTCTTCCAGGTACGCAGTCACGAGCGACGGGATGCGGACGTGGCACATGCGGACGACAAGCTATCAGCGAGGCCGCATAGTCAATGGAAGCCCTAACAAAGTCTGGGCATCAAGGGAACATACTGTGTTCGATAATCGTCCCGAAAGAGCGAAGCTGGTGATGAGTGTTGCACGAGGACCCGATTCTTTCAGAAACGACGCTGTCTGTAGGGAACGTCAGATAAACGCAGCGGTATGTCACCATGCACCCCGCGGGCGCGAATATGCGTCAGTCTTGGCTCATGACAATTCATCGGGGAGGATATCGGACAGGCACCGTGCAAGTATCAGACTCCTGTCATATGAGGGGACCGGAGGACCGTGTATCCGAAGTGATATTGAATGATACAAGCGCACAGTTCACGCTTTCTTCAAACCGGAGGAAGTTCAGACGACTATTTGGTCCTCGGGCCCCGTAGTGCGGACGTACCTGATCCTGGCAGCGAGGTCACCTCCGTCGTGCACGACGTTTTCCCTTGACTAAGCCGAATTTGACGGACGTTATGCCGATGAGTTGATGATGTACGTAGTCATCCTGAGAGTACGTGCTGGGCGTACTCACCATTCGAGTGCCAGACAACGGCCTCCATGACGGCCACTCATCAGAACGCGCGCATTATTTACTTCGTCCTGCGAACGAGCTTAAGTATACAGTAAGACTCCGCAGAAAGGATGGACAGGGCTGCGAACAAAGTTGCCATATGACCCTGGGATGCGCGCTCGGTTGTGCCACGCGTGTATCGGCGCCCCGGATTCGCTCACCTTCCCACATCCAACGCCAAGCAGACAGCGACCTACGCAGTGTCCCTCCTGCGCCTCTAACATTGCGAATTTCATCACCACCCACGCCCCTACAAGCTTCCGCTCATTGTCACTCACAGTCTGTCGCGTCCATCAGCACCGCATTGAGTTGCCCGAGCTGGGTCCCTATCCCGTGCGTCAGCCGCGACTCGCACGATGAGGATGCAGAAGCGGATCCAATTGAGTAGTCGGCGCACGAAGCGCATGTCGCTCACGTAGGCCAATCGGAGTCCTGACACAGGTAGAGAACTGTTCCCTCGCGCGAACCAAGAGAGCGAACGGCCGGAGAGTATCCGGTGGCGGTGTACGTGAACATGAGCCGTGACATTGTTTAGCTGTTATTACATCGAGCTCGTCGCCGCACCTTACATCGCGCTGCCTGTCTCATGAAAGCGCGTCCTCGCAGTCCGGAATGGGAAATAGCCTTGCTAATGACTTACACAGATGACACGTCCGTATCACCGTAGCTTCTCCCGAATCTTCCGCCACGTACGTCTTACGGGTCCCTTCTTTTCCTGGCAATCCGAGTTACGCCAATCAGGAATAACAGCTGTGGGAATGGTATTGTGCTGGTACATACGTGACTTTCACTGGCCGAGCTAGCAGCAAGTGACAAAGGAGGGAAGTCGGACATCGAGTCTCATTCGACCTTACTCGGATTTTGACTGTTGCCTGCGCTCGCCGACGATGTAGTTGCACCACCCCATCGTCGAGGTGCTGCTGGCTATGGGGTACCAATGAGTATGCGCGTGCACCGTGAGACGTGACGCAGACTTACTGAGACAGGACTGTTGGTTGCACTGATCTGAGTGGCGTTTCCGCGGCTGTTATTTGCGGCTACTTGTGCCAACGGGCTGATAGGGACTGAGGGCGGAAACTCGTTGGCTAGACTGCGACTCGAGCCGCTCTGCGTCTCGACCGTACTAACAACCTGGTGCGGTGTTTGATGGTAACCAGAGGTTGAGGATACCGTGTATCCGACCATGGAGTGATGACTATGAATTAGCGAGTAGTACGAGACAGGATAGCCTCACCGTTGATTGCTGTAGGATCGGAACTCCACCGTAGGGTATTTGGCTGATCGCCCCACTGAGAGGTTCGTCTTCGAAGTCGGTGATTGTACCGAAGATGATTTTGCCAGGTTCCGTACTACTACTCCTTGCTGCTAAAATAGCTGGCTATCACCCTGAGTCAGTGTAGCACTAGGCGGGAGGAGGGTTCTCGCGCTTCATCACTTACACGGACACTGCTAGTTGACTCAGAGGTCGCCGCAAGCTGCGCGACGTTTGTGTCTATCTTCAAGAGCGTTTCAGCAGGCTGGGGATTGGACCCCATGGCGGACTCAGGTGGTGGTGTGCGTCCCGCCGCCGTTGGAGGCGTGTGGAAGACGCTGGGGAACAAGGGGCAGGCCATCAACGAGAATGTTACCTGAAGGCGCGCATAGGGAACCAGACATACATTGAACTCAGGAGAGTCTGGGGCCAGCGTTCGAGAATGACCTGGTTGGCCAGCGATATGCGAGAGCTGGGAAGCAGCGACAACGGAGCCGAAGTCAAGTATGCCGCTCGGAGACCTTGAGGTAGGACTTGGCCATTTTGATTCTTTCTGTAATCGTGCGTCTATAGGCTACGGATATGTCGTGGGCATGTCTCCAAGATGTCTCCCGATGTGGCACTTACTGAGGCGTGCGAATGTTCTCGACTCCCCACTGTGGGGCTGATGGGAGCTGTGTTGATAGGGCTGCGGACGATGCCACTCTTTGTGCTAGCCGGGGTACGTACGCCGCTGGCCGTCTTAGAGAGTGCGCAGAATAATATGCGGTTCAGAAAAACTCTCAAGCAGAGTAATGGAGTTGACCTTGCCTGTGGTACACCTTGCTGTTCGCAGGGGAAGAAATGATCCTGTTGAGATATCAGGTTGCTGCTACAAGGGGAGGAGGCATCGAGGACGTCAAGATTAACGCACCAGGTATTCTTGCCACAAAAAATGCAGCTCTGCCTCCCCTTCAGAAGTAAGTTTTGCACATGATGTGCGCCACCATTCCGTTCGAGTATAGATCATAGTGACCAATTGTTCATAGATCTCGGGCACTACTTAGACGTATAGTCGGCTCGTCTAAATCTCGAGTTCTAGCTCATCTTACGTACTCGCAGATGGCGTTGTGTACTAATTTGCGGGACACCGATCGCAGAGGTTTGCCAGAGTTGATTGACAGGCCGGAACGTCACGTGATGCTCCGCCAGGATGCGGAGCCTGCGTGTAGTGTTCTTGGCAAACCGCTGCCAACGCTGCCAATCTGCCAGAGGCAATTGCCAGGCGGCAAATGCCATTTTACCGGCCACCGAAGTTGGTGGCAGATACAGGGCGCTTGTTGTGCGCTTGCGGTATGGGATCGACGCCGGTCGACCAGAGACGGACTAGCTGCACTGTCCTTCCACACAACGCGAAAGAGGTTTCCTCCTAGCATTTTGTATCATGAATGAATTTTCGGCTAATGTGAAGTCGCTCCTGTAATTGTACTCTGTTGCGGGGAGTGGACGAACAACATCATAAACGTAAAATTCAGGTCCTGATCTTAACTTGAGAGCCCAGGATGATACTCAGTGGCCTCTTTGGCTCACTCTACCCACTTTTCCTCGCCCGAGGCTCCCCAGTAGCGCGTGCCAATCTGCCAGTATTTACCGGCCCTGGCAATTGCCGTTTTGCCATTCTGCCATTTGCCGGAGGCCGAAACTATTCTGCCCTGCCAGTGTACACTACCTGCGTGGCCGACTTGCAGTGTGCACCGAACCACCATCAGGCCGCTGTGACTCAGTCAACATATAGCTATATCTCATTGCTAAGTACCTTTCACTATCATACTCTACTGTTTTACTGCCATGGGCAAGAGTCTTGTCCCCGCGGCTCAAGCCTCCGCCACGCCGGAAAGTTCACCCAAAGCACCTAGATTCCCTCCCGTTGGGATGTACGGTGTAATGCAGATCAACCTCTCAGCTATGGTCCAGCACCTCCATGATGAAGATGTTCTGGCGAGGGCTTCCTGCGTTGAGATGAAGAAGTATCTTGTGTACATACGCCAGGTATGTTATCTCACCTGATCTCCTTCGCCCATAGTCATGAAGTGTACCCCTCAGTTCGGAGAACTTCCTTTCCACAGCAGTCCATGGTGTCGCTACTCGGTTTCCTTCATTGGTGCTACTCTACGGTCAGAGGATCTAGCCATAGGGATCACGTCTGACATGGTCGTCCCTATCTTCCCATGCTCTCTCTCGGGACGGCCGCAAGCTACTCCCTCACGACCGTTTCCCTTCCCGAACTGCTACCACTAGGTCTGCACTGACGCAGAGGTCCGCATACGTACAAAACCAGGCGGTTACGATGAAGATCGAGCGGTCAAGCAAACCATCCCGGAGCACATCAGCCTAGTCAAGATATTCTCAGATGACTGCGAACGTATAGAGATGAACGAAATGGCATTCAAGGAGGCCTTCGCCACCATAGTCACTTCCCCTCCCGTCGAGTCTCCCGAGCCACTTCCGCCCTCCGAAGACGTTCCACTGGAAGACGGAACCGACGTCGTGGATGACGAGCGTTCCTGGACCTCCTCCCCCGCTTTCTCAGAGGAGCCTCTCCCGGATGTCTTTGGGCTTGAGCACGACCCCAATATAGAGGCACGCATTCCTCTTGTCGACCTATGGTCAGACCTCGAGAATCACATTTCCGCCGACACCATCACTGATCCCAGGGAGTTTGAGGAAGAGGTCCGGCAAGTTCAGTCGTGAGTAGCGTCGTAAGGTTTGGTTAATGATACTGAATGACAGTTGTTGGCAGGATCGTCGATGAAGCTATCGGTCGTCTATACGAGGCTGGAAAACCAATTCCGGATCCACGGCATTTCGCGCAGAACGCACAACTGCACGCAGTACCGCCTTCAGACACAGCGCCCGGACAGGTGGGTGGTACTAAGTCGATCGCTACCGCAGTTGTTGGAGGGGATACTAACAAGCCGCGTACGTATCCATCTTCGACATTGCGGTCCGCAGAGCTAACCGGGGATGCATTGACATATCAGGTCCTAATCCAAAGATGTCCGACTTTCTAAGTTCATTGCTGAGGTCACTAGGACAGCGGCTCTTTGGTCGCATTCAGTAGGTGTCTGCTATGCTGTGATCGATGCCTGGTATCAAATCACTCATGGGCCATTCGTATCCAGTAAACGCCGATCTTCATAGGTTTCTGCTAGCTTTGCATTGCTGCCGTGTCCTTCGCTTCTCCGCGCCTCTGACTCCTGCTTTCGTGCTCTCGTGCTGTGATGTTCCGGCCACCCATCATCCCATAGACGCTTGCAACTCACGGGTCATTTGTATCTCAGGCATATTTGGTTTCTGCATAGCTACACCTCTGTTCCGTATACGCTGCGCGCTACCCCCTCAGCGAAACGCTGCTCAGACTGTGGCGCGGTATGACCTGCCGTCCTCATGTCTTGCCTCCGTGACACGTTCCCTCCGTATACAGACGTTTTGAGGTACCGGATCCAGACCATATGTCGCTGAATGGAACGCATCAACACCCGCTACCGCTGACCAGCCACCTTTCGGCCCATGCGCATCTTGGACTGCGGTCGTCCGCGGCGCTCCGCCTTCCAGGACGCACGTCTCACTTGCGGGTCCGGCGTCTCAGCTTCGGTCGGCGAACCGAGGACTTGGCGCGCCATACGTCAGTGAGTGTTATATCCGCTGTATATATCTATGACAAAAACGAGTACATATGTCTTGAATGGACGAAAGATACAGATATCGCGGAGGTATGAGGGGCCCGGAGACTGTACTAGTGAATAGCGACCAGGGTCCGGGCAGTTCCACGCTTCACTTCGCGAGAGCAACGCCCTCCGCAGAGCTGTCCTTGCCGATCTCCCAGATAGGCTCGGACGTGTCCGTCGGCGCGTGCAGCGCCATGACCCGCGCTGTCATGCCGGCATCACGCTCATATCCGTAGCCCGTCGACGCGCTCGCGTACGTGTCCGTCGTGTCTCCGAATTCCGCATCCTTCGGATGATGTGCTTTGACGGTGAAGGGAAGCGACTCGATCTCGGAGGAACGGTCATGTGTTGTGGGTGGGTAGGTGAACTGGTGGTCGAGGTGCGACTTCTGGAGGGCGACGAGGACGATGAGCGCAGTCGGGTACATGCCCTGATGCGGCACGGATGTAATATACGTCAGGTCATGGACGGACGAAATGTGTTCTGAGGACAGGAGACGTACGGTGATTTGCTGCATGAAGAGAGTGACGTAGGAGAAGAACTTTCCTCCGTTGAGGCTCGGCGCGAGGACGATGACGTTGAGCAGCTTGCGCAGGCCGATCAGCAGTACGAACCCGACATCCGCAGCTTCAGGAACTCACCATGAAAACAGTGTAGATGATCCCAAGGTCGACCAGCAACATCAGCACGTCATGCACCGCAAGGCCTGTGCTCCCCAAATGGCGCCTCAGATCCCTGCGTTGCAGCCTGCACAGACCCGAAGGCGTGAGCAGCTAGGGCGCCAAAGACGGGAGCCGGTTTACGAGAAACATACCATGCCTTGTACGCCACCATCGCCGTAGCCCACACATTCGTGGCGGCGCTCCACGAGAACGCGAACGCGTTCACGATTGTACTGTGGTGGACCAGGACCTCGACGGGCGCGGGTAGATGGTCGTAATAGAATCCAACAAACATCGCGCTCCACGCCGTGAAGACGCCTGCATGTCAAACGATGAGACAAGAATGGCATGACATGCCATGGGAAGCAGGTTAGATGATGCCCGACGGGAAGCTTACGGGCCACCCACCGATTGACCCGAGCACCCAGAAAAGCGCTCCGGCGACGACACGTCTGTCGCTCCCCCAGACAACACTGACTCGCCAGCAGACCACCGCGTCACCTAGAATTATCTTGAAGACTGCAATGAGCAGGCAGGCAACTGGAACACCGAAGACCCGCCACGCACACATATGACGCTCGTTATCCCTTGGAGCACGAGCAAGGCCGGATCCGACACGCCGAAGGGCGGGTGCGACACAGAGACACCAGTGAGTGTGAGTGTGTGGAGGTCATTCCAAAGTAGTCGGATATCGATTGCCCAGTCGAGCGTTGATATCGCGTACATTGCGAGTGTGGCGGAGAGCATGAGCACATTGGGCCGTGACTTGCGAATTCCCCGCTTGCTGATCAGATAACGGATTAGCGATGCTTGCATGCACTAGAACATGCAAAGTACTCACAAAAGGATATACGTCGATGTAAGGATGATGATAGTGAAGATCGCTGGAGAGAGGCAAATGGCATAGTCAGGAGGTGGCGTACGATGTAGATGCAGTTGAATACTGACCGAATAGTGCAGTCTCCACGACCACAGGGAACACCCGATGCTCCGCCAGGGTAGTCAACTCTGTCCTCAGCCGCTTCGCGCTCGCCGCGCTAAGTCCAGCTGTTGTCGTTGCCGTTGCGGACATTGGAAGTGCGATACGGGTAGGTGGAGGAAGGTGGAAGAGCCACGGCACGCATTCCGCTACTCCATTTCAAACACGTCGCCCAGGATAGTGATATGGGAATGAACCGTCGTGAGCTGAGCGGCCAAGGCAGGGCTCGCGCCCTTCCAATGTGTGTCATTGTGGACGTTTCCGCGCGAACCTTATTGGCCGGATATGGTGGCAGCTCATCCGGACGCAGGAACGCAGCATCGGCGCGGGTGTCGCCTCTACCGATCGCGACTATTCCGAACCTGCCAGGGGGCGCCGACGCTCAGTCTCCTGTCCATCCATCTCTAGTATCTACTGCATTCCTTGACGCAGTAGAATTGATCTGCGCAGCGCAGGATCTGGTTTGAATGTCCCACGTACGTAAGCACGGAAGATAAGCTAGATGGAACGCAACCTCGCTCTTTGCTTCTACTGAGCGCCGACGGTGCTGAAATTGCGCTAATACGGCGCATGCCGGTGCCTGAGGTTCTAGGCTGTCGGCACGACGCTCATGGTCGGATTCCACGCAGTCAGTGACAGCGGATGTAAAAATCAGCGTCGCATGCCCCGCGCCGGGTGGTGTGCTCGGATCACCGGACATTCGCGGCCGAGCCCCAACCCTACCGCACCGAGGCCATTGCCCAACTCTGTTCCACCGCCGGAAGCACTTGAATATACCGTGAATATGTGTTTGGAACATCCCAGGTAGGAAAGCAAGTACTATGTAGCTTGGAAAGCAACATATCTCGGCGGGGCACGTCTCGAGCAGTCACAGCGAGCATGTCCCCGAGCTGGAAGGTGGCCGGAGAGCAGGCTGGCGGGGCTCGGCAGGGGCCTGCCGCTGATCCGAGCACACCACCCGGCGCGGGGCATGTGACGCTGATTTTTACATCCGCTGGAACATGGACGGTCCGTGTACGGTGTCAGGGCGGGAGGACAATATATCTTGTCAGAGTGCCGGGTTAACGATCGACAGCGAACGTCTTGTCACGGTCTCTATCAGGCAGAATAAGAGTACTCGTATACCGAGAAAAGCCAGCAAACAGGAAGACTTTCGTCATGGTCATGAAACGAGGCTGACAAACGCCAGGCGCAGCAAAGTCCTGAGTAGGCCAGAAAAAGGCGAGGACATCAAGTACGGTAGCAGCGGTGCAAGGAAGTCCGTGGGCAAACCGCGGAGAACGCCGGTACCGGTGGGTCGGCATCGCCGTGGGCACCCGACTTCTCTGAGCTGAGACTGAGTATTTCTCCTCCATCTCCCATGTCGCTTCATGAAGTGAGACTCACTTGTTCATTTGCACGTGCAGAACTTTAGCGTGCTAGCCGGAGCTTGTCAAGTTGGAACTGGCATGTTCCTGCCAGTGGAGCACCCACCGGACTCGAGCGTCGTACGTACTCGACCACCTCGAAGACTGGGAGCACTGCCGCAATCACGATAACGTCATTCAACTAGACCACATAGTCTGCGATCGCACTCTAACGACATCTATCCCCTCCGCTGCCAATGGTAGTAAGCAGCCCAGTTGATTATGAAGAAGCATCGTGCCTGACCCGCGTTTGCACGCTCGCGTCCACTGTGTACAGATGTGACATCACTGTAGTGCCGCTTGGTTCTCGTTCAAAGTGGGGCCGTCCCAGATAGAGATACTGAATTAGATCGAAGAACGCCTGAAGTCTCTCAAAGCACAGACTGTACAGCCATTTAGCGAGACATGTCACTTAGTTCTTCTTTGGCCTCCAGCGAAGCGAAGAGCGCATGGAGGTGAGCAATTTGGGTAAAAGCTCTTCATCATCATGTCAGTCCTCTAGTTTCGAGCACGAGAAGGACGAACCGATACAACTCACTCCTGGGATCCTCAGGGATCGGATCAATTGCACTAAACTCAGTCTCCTCGTCAAACCAGTATGTGAATGCATGTTCGCCTTCTTCCTCCCTCAACCTTTCCACTCCGTTCATCCGGAAAAGTCTAGGGCATATTGTAGTCAACATCGAACAATTGGAAGGGCAAAGCACACCTCATCAACCGTTTGAACGCTCGACATATCCTCAAGAGGCCTACGCATATCAATGAGTATACATATTCGGATTCGTAAGAGAATGCTCCTCTCACCTCTGGATCTCTGTCCCATAGCAACCTCCTTCACGGAGAGGTCCTCAGTTCTCATGCGGCTAGCCGAAAGGGAGGCAGCGTCGTCGTCGCCCGGACATGTCTCAATGGCGGCTTTCTTCCGCATGTTGGACTCTCGAACCAGCCTACATGGTCGAGGTCATCAGCGCACGGCTTCTGCGATGCGACGGCTACATACCGTCTCAGAGCTTTGCTCTCACGGAGAAATTACTAGGATCTGGTAAGCTGTTCTCGTCCAATGTTCCCGCCAGATCAAAGGAGACGTTTACGACGGGAATCAGCTCGTCAGGCACGTCCGGCCTCCATAGGAAGTTATCGTCTTCGTCTGTTGGTATCAACTGGCCTCCATCTCGTTCCCTTCTCGCGAGCACCGCGGCATCCAGATCCTCTGTTAGCAGTGTGTCCATCCTGACGCGTTCGCGGCCGGGCAGTGTTGTGACTCGCGGGTCATCTCTGCGGGGATATCCGCCAGTCGAAACTCGGAGAAGGAGGTCGGTGTAGGCCCAGTGGTAACAATTGCGGAACGGGAATGGTGTCTTCGGATGAAGAGGCGCGCGCTGGTTGCTGGTGGCGGGGAAGATGGGGACGCACATTTTGGGCGTGAAACAACTCTCGGGGTCTGCAGCGCGGAGACCGGGTCCGACTATATATGTGATATATCTGGTCCACGGCCTGTTTGGGAAGGGAAACTCGGTGGCCTAAGGTGTGTGGTTAGTAACCAACGAACTACGTGCTCCGACAACTGACCGTGTGAAAAAGATGAGGCATCGTGCCGGCTTCACCTATTTGGCAGCCTCCTGAGCTTCAAAGTCCAGATGCTCCACGGTTGCTGGGATGTCTAGCTGGGCTATGCCATAGGTTCCAGGGCCAGGACAGTACAATGAAGTGGCGGTCATCGTTACCGCAATGTCTTCTGCACTTCGATCCCGCTGGCCTCCCTCTCTCATTGTACCATGTTCGACTGCAACACTTACTCCACCGGTACAACAACTACAGGCACTGCTCGTTCGGGTCCCACTTCATGCGCAATTGGAGACGTTTGTGTCCTGCGAGAGTCTCTGGCAGCCGCGGTGGAGTACATATTTCAAGTCACGGAGGTGATACGACAGGATCCCGTCGCACTGTAAAGATCAGAACATGCACTTTGCGATTTAGGAACGTTGGGAAATATCGTCCGTGCATCCTTGTGCGGAACGCGAGCTCTGGCACGTGCCCCGCAATTGTCTTCCTCATGGGTACACTCGAAGGCGTACCAATCGAACACCCCAGCTGCCAGCATCCCGAATAGCTATCGAGAGTTCTGCAGGGCGATATTTCCGAACTTGGGCCTTCCTCATTCCACCCACTTCCACACGACACCTCCCTGGCCGCACAGTAGTCAATGGCTATTCAACTACCCGATATCCTTGGGCGACAGTAATCTAGTAGTGACAGCACATTGGCGCTTCAAGGGACAGCATGCCTATTCCGGTGTGTGCGATGTACGAAGCCTCGCTAGACACGTTGATGGAGCACAGTGACGACAGGTTCGATGAGTTGCAAGAGTGTTGTTATAGTGATACTGAGCTCACACGAGCCATTGAAAGCGAGTGGAGGGTATGTGACAACATCCACAGTGGTACTCTTCTTTGCTCACCCCGAGGATAGGCGCGGTTCGCGGCTCTGAGTATTAGTGTTAAGCTTCCGAGTACTTTCATCGTCCATTCCTCAGAACCGTCACAGGACCCAGGAGGTGGAGTATCTCAGACGAGTTGAGTCGGCACGACTCAGAGTTGCCACGTTTATCGCCCACCATCACTACATACCGTTTCCCCTGCTGAGCGCAGTAACGGAGTATGTCTGCTCATTCACTTCACGCGAACTATCCCAGTGTAGCACATGCTATAGGGAGTCTCGTACTGACGTAAGGATCCACAGGTACGCACCGCAAGCGACTGGCTCCCCATGTTCTGTAGATATCTCATACCCGACGGGATGACTTGCCCAAGCGCCCAATAATGGGGAGCCGAAAAAAGAACGTCGACGCCAGCAGGATTCGAACCTGCGCCTCCAAAGGAGAACAGATTTCTAATCTGTCGCCGTAACCACTTGGCTATAGCGCCATATTTGTGCACGGCGGGTACTTTTTGAGTCCCCAAACTTGAGTCCAAGTACAGGCCAAGTTTGTGACATTTTCCTTATCCTCGGATAAGTTCACCGCAGCTCGCGTCGGCGCGCTCCAGGCGGACAGGGGATCCGAAGAGCCAAGGAGGCTCGTCTACGAGCTTGTTCTCCAGGAAGTGATTGGTGTGCATGACGATGCCGTCGGGAGGTAGACGCCTTCACGCGGGGAGAGCTCGAGGCCGCATGCCTTGTGAGTGTCTGCAATGAGGATAGATATGTTGGCTCGACGCTGCACCTCCGAGCTTCTGTATCGCAGTGATCGCGCTGTCTACCGACTCCGGTTTCAAGTGAAATACGAAGGAGACAATGGATAGGTAGAAGAGAGGTCGAGATAGGTCGGGCCCGAATAGCGTTCAGAAGGACGCCAACCGAGGATGATTTGAAACCGATCTTCCCAACGATTCCTGGCTAGTCTGGGTATCAGTTTCGCTTTCCATTGAAAGAATCGAGCAGCGAATTCACCTCGGTGACCATCCATATCTTGGGCTTCCCATCCTGCTCTATCGACACCATCGCTAGGTTCTTCCCTACGCCCACTCTCCAGTCCCAGTTCTGGCCCAGAAGCTGCCTCTCGAAGCCAGAGCCAGCGGAATTGCGGAACCGCCACGCGAGGCTGGTGCACCCGTCGTCCCATTGCCCCAACGCGATCTCGCTGCGCGCGTTGAGGGCGACGATGTCCAGGACGTCGACGCTTCGACCGTGTTCATCAGCGTAGGCGCAAAGACCGTCCGCGATGCCTTCCATTTCCTGGAGCAGATGCGGGACAAGTTGCCCGATTGTTGTACGGAACTCTTTCGCGACGGTGCGGACGTGGGCTCAATCAAACTTGCACTACCTCCTCATGACGCCCTCTTCCTACAGCTGAGTAAACTCGGCCTCACCAAGTCGCGTCATCGTGTCGCAGGCTTGGGGCAGAGACAGATGCACAGCCTGCAAGGGGAACTTTCGAGGCTTCGATCCCCATTGTCCCCGACCACGAGCAATCTTCAGTGTACGGGCTGTGGAACAGGAACGCCGAAGCAAAACGGCAGCGCTCCGGCTTCAGCTTCATGCCTCAGGCTGTGAAGCTGCTGACCAGTGCAGTTCCCGTGCGCCTCATGCCCTGGGAGAGGATGGCGACCAACGTCATCAGCAGCAACAGCACTGGTGGACCGTTGCGTTTTGACGACACGAGCTGCGAACATCAGAAGGGCGATGAGCGGTATTATCTTTAGATGCTACGAAGTATTGCTTCCCGAAGAATCTCGTCACCCTGACGACTGTGAGACAAGTAGGTTGGAAAAAAGCAAAGCCAACCTCCCAAGCGAACAGTTCCGTTGAAGTGTTTACCCCCTCAGGGTACAAGTAGAGCATAGACATGGAGTAGATGGCGGTCGACAACCTTCAAGTTGGTAGCGCGCTTTCACTGCGCTTAAGAGAGCTATCTATCATTGTCCACCATCGGGCGAGCATAGGTCAGGAGCGGTCAAAGGATACGTACGATATCCAAGGAAAAGAGGCCCCGAGCAATCGAACATTTGAATTGTCAGATACGAGGACACATGTCGATCGTTGGAGTATCAATACAGTGTTCGCCGCCCAGAGTATTAGAGGAAGATAGGGAGAACAACCATGAGTGTAGTAAGGTGCCCTGGAGGAAGCATGTGGTGTGCGAGAAGAGACAAGTTGGACGGCCCTGAAACCTTCCTCAACGATACTCATACCTCTATCGTCTCTACAAGACATGACAGACGTATACGGTTTCGACCTCGAGTACCATTGGGCAAGACAGACCGATGGTTCGGGTCTTGGCCTGCGTTGGCCGGAAGCGGCCTGGTAGCGGATGAGTGACTTTGAAGGGAGGGCCTCGAACTGATGCGCACAACAGTGATTTACGAGGGCCTGAAGAGAGTTAGCGCGACGGGCGGGCTGCTTACATGACGTACGCGGCGGGGTGGCGTTAAGGCTAGTTGCTCATATGATCAGTGCCTGAGCGTCCTGGAACTTCAGAAGCGTTGTGCTAGGCCCGAGTCCTCGCGCCACGACTAGAGTGCACAAGAGCCGTCTTTTGCCAATGAAGTCCATATGCCATGTCAAATAAACCACGAAGAGACATACTGAATGCAACCAAGCGGCGGGGGGAGGAGGCGCGGGAGCAGATCAAGGAACGCGGGAGCAATTGGAAATTGGAGGTACATGGGATCGAGCAGAAGCTTGCAACCCTTCTCTGAAGGTTGACAGATAGATATAGACGTGCCGAGCCAGCCACTTATGCTATGTACTTACGAGCATCACGAAGACCCGTCGCCCGGAGTCCTCCACGGACCACGACGTTGTTAGGGAGTAACGAAGCACTGGGGAGTCGCAGCATTGTCCGAGGGCAGATAGTGTCGATGTAAGAACAGACCTAAGTAGAGCAGTTTCGTTGTGAGGAGGAAGACAGTACTGTGCCGCGGCTGCGGAGGAAGTCCGACAGTGGACAAGAGGAGGTCGAGGGAGGAACCGAAGAGATTGACGGCAGATGCCAGGCACAGCATGTCCGCATATGGCAGTGTAGAGGGAAGGAGCAGGGCGGCTTCCCATCGCAAGACGTTTCCCCAGAGTCCAATGCACCCGACGCCTCCTCCTCTTCCTCCGCCCCAACCTCCTTCCCCCCACTCGTTCCGTTCGGTGCTCTGTATATTCTGAACCGCATCTGATAGGGACTAGAATTTGCACGCAAAGCCGCGCTGGCGAGCTAATTGGCCTCCATGAGCACCGCATCGCCCTCCGCGTTCTCGCTTTGGTCGATCCTCGCCATCCTTGTCAGTCTTGGTGCCTTTTGAAATCCTGCTCAACAACGCTTTGCTGATTGTCTCTGGGCCTCCTTCTCACAGTTTCTCGTATTCCTTGTGCACCACTTGTGGTGCTATGACCGCTTCAAATGTCTCCGCTGGTCCGCAGGTCGCCAGCCCGGGGCATTCAAGCGCATCATGACCGTATGTGTCGCTCAGAGAATCTGTATCGGCTATTAACTCACCCAATATCGCCGCAAGTATTCCTATCTAGGCGCTGTACCGCTGCTGTTGGTGTATAGTATTGGAATGACGGTCATCAAGGTCAGAGAAGGTGCGTAATCCCCCCCCCAATATCTCTCCACAATTTCATCTCAAGATCTGCAGGCTACGTTCTGGCTCCGGACGGCACTTGTGAGTCCTATCGCACTTTGCACGCATGGTGTTTGTGTCCAACGCACCCGCAATAGTCATCCCCATGCCCATCAATGCGTACCGCGACGGCAACAGGAGCTGGGTTCTTCCCTTGCAGTTTGTCTTCAGCTTTGCCTGGGCATTGGAAATGTAGGTTTCCTCCTTTGTCTCAAGGACGTTCTTTTGCTTGTTTGCCCTCGTCTCCGCACTTCCCGATATTTGTCGGCCTAAGCCACTCCGTGAGGAACAATTCCGCGCTGGCTGTGTCCCCCCTTCTCCCCATCCTATGCTACTGCGTTGCGCAATCTTCCACAGGATGTGGGAGCATCACCTCCGGAGAGGGCGTGTGGAGCAACGTCTCTCCTGGTCCAGGACTCCTCTGCAGTATATGTAAGTCCGTGTGTGTGTGGGGGGGGGGGGGTTTACAGCTCGCGTGGTCTCGTGTTTCAGGGCTAAAAGTGTAGAAGGTGGGTCTCAGGGCCCCACCGGCACCCCTTTGCTGGTGCTAGCGGCGTTGAATGGGCAAAAGGGAGGGCAATGTCTTCCCGCCCGCGACAAATCCCATTGGGAAAGAATATACTGACAATGTGACAACTTCATTGTTGCTTGAGGGCTACGGCTCCAGCCCCCAGAAGGTTAGGGGTGGTGCCAGTGGGTCTGTGCCAGCTCGTTCAACCATACTATGTGCAGGTGGTGACGAGTTGAGGGTGGCTGCAAGCCCGACTAATGCGGGGCGGCATCCATTCTTCGCTGAACGCTGGAGCAGAAAGGAAATCAAGAGCATCCTGGCCAGGACCGGCCGGAGGACCCTATACTATCACACTTTCACGCTAGTATCCGCATCAGACCTCACAGAGGGTATACGGCCGAGCAGGATCGACCAAAGGTCGGTCTCGGCTGACGTGTCGCTCTGTGACTCAAAAGTTGTGATGACGGTGCACATAGCCGGACGTGTACTGCCTGTGACCGGTCAGTTGACACATTTCGCCTGGCCGTGGGGGCGCCCATCGAATACAGTTTCGGTTCGGTGCGCGTGCCCCCAGATCTTGTTCAAGCCTCGGCACATAGAGCTTCCTGGGCGGTGATGCCGCTGACGGTGGGAGACAGACTTGGTGGGGTCTCTCACTGCGCCGTAGAGGAGCTCGCTTCGTGGACAGTGCATTCACGCGGGCCCTCATGTGCGGCCCTGGCGTGTTGAAGCGTATGTGCTGTCTAGACTATGTTGTCAAAAGAAATTTTGCGCTTGCCCGAGACGAACGCGCGATTGCTCCCAGTAGTGGTGAAATGCGCGGGGCTGCTTGTTGAACCAGCGTTGTAAGTGATCATCATCAACTCGTGCCCCCGACTATTGCTCTAAGGCAAATGGAGACGAGCTTCGAGCTTTTTTTAGATCGCCCTAGGTCAGGCTCTAGAAAACATAGTCTTGTTGGCATTATGCACGACGCGGAGCGGTTGTTGTCTGTATATGTGTGGTTAGACTGACGTCTGCATCGAAAGCTAACCGAAATGTGTGATGTATCACAGGGTCACGCACTTGGAGGAGCTCGCGTTCTGGTTGTATCTTTTGCATCAGAATCCGAACAAGGAGGCGTGGTTCTCCAGTTGGGAGTATCGTTTTTGGTACATCGGTACGTTCACTCGTCTTGTGGCTTGAACAGCGGATGGAACTGACGTTGGCGTCTAGGGAGCATATGCGCGATCGTTGGCATGCCTCTTACCGCGCTGATCACGCGGAACAACCTGGAGACTGTACGTGTCTTCGCAGAACGTCCCTTCCGCTTATAATCTGCTCATCATGGTTTCTTTTAGTGCGACGCGTACATCTTCCTGGTAGGCTCTGCGGGATCTACATCGACGACAGTCATGTTCCTCTACGTGCTCTGGCGCTTCCCTATGTTCATCAAACACGTCAAGGGTGAGGGCGCAGACCCGTCGGTGGTGGTGCGACTTGCGACGTTCTACCAGCTCAACGTGAGTCTTTGTGCCTGCTACGCTATGACATGTATACTGATGACACTCCGCGACGAGCAGCAAGTGCGAGTGGTGTTCCGTTTCCTGTTCACCATCCCTCTGCTCATTCTCGCACTCGACGGGATTATTGGGACGCAGCATCCGATTGACCGTGACCTGTATGCTCTCTCTGCCTATGAAACGAGATTGAGGTGCTGACGTTTGCTCGCCAGGTTTGTCACGGACTTTCTGCAGATGCTCGCCGGGCTAGGCTGCTTCGTCTCGTCGATGATCACGCTGCTCATCTTCTTCCCCCGCTCGATCGTCCGCGAGTCCGGATACAAGCCGAAAGTGTCGAGCACGATCCTACACTCGCCCAAGAGCTCCCCTGTCACGCCGCCTTCCCGCTCTGGGCCGTTCGCCGCTGAGGTGCCCGCGCACATGAATCTGCACCGCCTTCCCGCGCACATGGTTGGGTACGCGAGCCCGAGCGCGTTCCGGATGAGCACGACGGGGGTGACGGGCATGACAGGGTACACGACGACAGGGTACGCGGACAGCGCGCACACGCAGAGCGTGTACTCGCCTCGGGAGTCGCTGCAGGACTCACGACAGTACGCGCAGTATTCTCCGCCGCGGCCCGGGGAGGAAGGGGCGGACGTGCAGAGGTGGGGCACAAGAGTATCGAGGTCGTCGAGGAGGGGCGTGAGCCGGCGGGCGAGCGTGTATAGTGGGCGGATGGACGCGCACCCGGAGAGGGGGTCCGACGGGGAGTACGAAGGGGAGGATGAGCTGAGGAGGGGGGTAGAGGGGAATGAACAGAGGGATAGGGAGGACGAAGAGAGTGCCCCGCCTTATTCGCATGCCCAACTGAACGCGCACACGCATGCACATGCACGCTCACGGTCGCACCCGCAACCACACGGGCAAGGTGATCAGCAGACACAGGCGCACCTTCACCTTCGGCTGCCGTTCGTACACTCCCATTCAAATCCACAAATAGACCCCGCTGCACACCAGGGCCTCCCCGCACCGTTGGGCCTCGACGAGCCGCCCTCGCCACCTCGACCAGGACCTCCTCCAGCCATCCATGCTTCTTCGACTGACACGTCGACAGTTCCGCCCTCGCCTACAAAAGCGAAGCGACGCACCTGGGACTGGGAAGAACGGCGGGCCGCTCCGACGAGCCAAGTGCACGGGCGCCGCGATAGCCTGCACATCATCGCGAACGGGCCCGGGGCGACGGCGGTGAACCTCGGACCGGGGGGTGCCAGAGTGGGCCTGGGCCTCGGTGTGAACGTAAACCTGGACCTGACGTCGGGAGGCGATAGGAGCGGGAGGAGGAGATCGAGCTTGCATCCATACGTGAGTAATCAGGTCTCTATTATACCTACCGGAGGGAGGGAGCTAACGTGTGATATGTGCCTTAGGTCGTGAACTTCACATCGCCAATCGGTGAGTACCACATGCGTGCCATACATATTTTTGTTCGGTTTCCCCTACCGTTGGGGGACAAGTCCACGCGGTGAATAGGGCGCTAAAGTTGATTGTCTGCAGACCTTGTTGATCTCCCCCCAACGCACCACGATCTGCCGCGTGCGATCTGATCTTGCTGCTCCGGCTTTATAGACGTCTTCGTGTCCATGTGCATGGGCACCCATGGAGGGCAACGGAGCACATGGCGTCCGGGTTGGGGAGCGGGAAGAATCGCATTTGACAAACGAGCCTGCGCTTGTGTCTCCGGAGACACAGCCACTACATTCGATTGTCGACATCGCCGGCGCGCATCACGATCCGGTCTTTCGATTGGGCTGGCATACCCCGACGGTCGACGCTCTACAACATCTCCATCCAGCTACATGCTGTTCCACAAGACCCAAGTCCATATCGAACTTCAGGGCTCATCTTCCCTCGCCGAGCGATTCTCCGACAACCCACTCTCATCGCACGGAGCAACATGATATGTCGTCGTACACTGCCCATCCACCCACATCCACATCTCGCATCGCATCTTTGCTCCATCTTGCATCTGCATCCGTATCTGTAACTGCATCAAGTCGCTGTCCCTATGCCCCTTGGACATCCAAACTTCTTTCCCGCCATACCCGTCGTCATCCCTCTATGTTTATTCGCGCATGCCACCGCTCTGTTCTCATCTGCTCGTCTGACCGCATGCACAGGCTATCTTGAACCCGGCCTGCTACGGCCTGTTGTGCTCGCACCAAAAGGCTTCCCACATCTGTTGGAAGTGACCTTGCCCCGCCCCGTCAGCCACGCGCTCTCCCCTTACGACTACATCACGACATGGCATGATATGTACTACTACTTCTCTATAACCGCTGTGAGGCGATGCGAGGGTGTTTGTTCTTTTGCGACGGTTGCCGTCCTTGGCTGTCATACATCCCTATCCGCGCGCTTGTCTCCCTCCCGCACTGTCCCTCCCTTGATTCGACCATTGGTTGTTCCGCAGCCTCCGTGCTATGTATCTCCTTTGAACGTCTTTCTGCCCCGAGCTTGGATCATCAGACGTTCTGGACGCTCTTGTTTGCTCGACGCTTTGTCATCCCCCCATTCTGCTAGTAGCGGCTTGCGGCGTAGGTTACATCGTCTCACTATTTCCGATCGGTGGTATATCTATACTTCCTACTTTCCAGTACCTGTTCTTTGTATATGCGTCGCGTCTGTTGTAGGATAGCGTTTGGGCTAATGTACTGTATTGTACTACACCCGGCCTAGTCCAAGGCGATGGGCGCGCAAGGAATGGGGAAGGGTTGATACATGTGCAAGGTACGTCTCTTTCCCTTTATGAAATAATGCTGCGTGGGTTGTAGAGGTACGTGTGAATGTTGCTTCCAGTGCTACAGATGCAGTCGTTTCTGGCTATGTTGACACTCCACCTGATATCTCCAGGTGGGGTGCTCACTTGTACCTCTTACGATCTCTCGTGCCGCGGCGTCGGTGTAGTTGTTTTGGAGCACAGCTCGAGTGTATTCTGGTCAGGTGTCCGCCGGCGTCGGCTCGGCCCTGCATCTGTGTGCATCCTCGTGCTCCAAGATGTAAGAGACCGGCGCCTAGACTCGAGCGCGTTCATGATCTGCAGGACTCCTCGGCTCACCCTCTCGAATACCTGGAGGCCTATGTAGTCTGCTGCAGCAAGAAGAGTCTTGGGATTGACTTAGAATGCTGTGTCTGTCCAATGCCCTCAGCGTCAGCCCTGTCGTACAAAGACTCTCCTATCCAATAGTTGTACCCCTCAGAATTGGCTGGATCTCGTAGCCGCCCGTATTTCGTACCGTATTTTGAGTCACGTCCCCCAAGCCTCCGTTACTAGTTCATCACGTCCCATAGCCGACATGTCGCATGCATGCGCAACGGCACTCGTGTCTTGACCTTCGTCTCCAGCTCATTCATGTCAACCTGATGATCTCAGCCTCATCGACGCTTCATCGTCACTTGATACGCTTGTTCCTCAACGGCCCGGGGCGGAGAAGACTGATGGCCCGTTAGCTGCAGATAATTATGACGGATGTGTTGCGTCGCCTGAACATCACTCTGACACCACCGGTCCGTACGGACGGTTTACCTACCATCGGTTCGCCTTCCCTTGACGAGGTGCCCCATACGTGTCACGCCTACACCGAGCTCTCGCCTTTGATAGTTGTTGCTGAGACCTCACTTCCAAGCCTGCTGATGACTCCTTGCACCGCTTCTTATCTCCGTGTACGTCGAAATGAAATGAGGCTCGGTGGACACATGACCAACTGACTGTGCCACCATTTACAGCATGTTTGTGATGCCGCAAAGAAGCCGAAGATCAGCCGTGGGTGGTGCATCATGGTGCACTCTGTTCGCCTATACCGCTCTCCCCCCTCTCTCACATCGAAGGTCGACCTAATGTCAATGTCGGGGCCCCGTAGGCTTCGTCACGCGGTACAAGCATCCAGGTACGTCCTCCCGACGTGCGCTATGATTGGCCAGTGTTGATTCGCGAAAACAGGCAGCACGTCACGCTACGCCCGTATGCATTCTACACTACGTGTTCCACGGAGCGGTCATCAATAAAGCACCCCTTGTGGCTACTTGGCCGCCGTAGGGTCTGATGAGCCCTGCGCTGAGACCTCACGCCCGCAATATCGGGCTATCTCAGGTGCTTTTAGTGCGCTTCGCTGGTGCATAGACGTCGTAGCGGTATATATTGTGATGGGTTTCGGTCCCTGAGACCCCAGCAACTGTGCCGTTCTCGGTCTTTGGCTTACTAGCAGCCCGTGCCTTGCTATGGGCTTGTCTCACAATCGCCTTATCCTATGCGCGCTCCTAACTCTCACCGTCGCCGCATCCAGTACCGTCCACCAGCGATCGAGATCCACACTGGGACTGAATGACGCAGCTAAGGCGGCGAAGAAGCTCTACTTCGGTACGGCGACGAACGCTGACCAGTGGAACGACACTACCTACTATGACATCTTGAAGGACGATGCCGAATTTGGGCAGATCACTCCTGCCAATGTCATGAAATGGGTATGTTTTTAACCTATCCCTCCGCCTATGCGATCATCCTATCGCGGACGCCCATGCTGATCTTCACTTCACTTGAGCAGTTTGACACTGAGCCCGAGCCCGGCGTTTTCAACTTCACGGATGGAGACGTTATTGCGAATTTCGCGAAGAGGACTGGCAAGAAGCTACGCGGGCACAATTGCGTTTGGTATAACCAGCTTCCGGGGTGGTTGCAAAACGGTACATTCACTCGCGCAGAGCTAGCACTCATTGTCGAGCGTCATTGCTTCGAACTCGTGAACCACTACCGCGGCCAAGTCTGTAAGTGACGCTCGAATGCCCAATTTTGTTGAGTTTGACCAGTCGAAATTGCAGACAGCTGGGACGTTATCAATGGTATCATATCATCGTACTCCAAACATCTGAGTATCGAGTGCTGACATGTGCTGCTTCCTCAGAGCCTTTCAACGATGATGGCACCTGGCGCTCGGACATCTTCTACAACACGCTGAACACAACCTATATCCCATTGGCGCTCCGCGCGGCTCGTCTTGCGGACCCTGGGGCGAAACTCTACATCAACGATTACAACATTGAGGGTACCGGTTCGTCGACATCTCTTTGCCTTTCTCGCGCTCCACCTCTGCTGATCATAGTTGACATGACACAGGCGCAAAGGCAACGGCCTTGAAGAATCTCGTCAAGGATCTCAAGCAACATGGCGTGCCCATCGATGGCGTCGGGATCCAGGGCCACATGATCGTCGGCGAGCTCCCTACGACGATCCAGCAAAACATGGAAGAGTTCACAGCGCTCGGGATCGAGGTCGCCGTCACCGAGCTCGATATCCGCTTCGACGCCCTGCCACCCACCGCCGAAGGGCTCGCACAACAGAAGGCTGATTATGAAACATTCGTGCAAGCGTGCAATGCCGTGCCGAGATGTGTTGGCGTCACGGTCTGGGATTTCACTGATAAAGTGCGTGGAGCTTCCCGATACTCGCGTCCAGAGGATATAGGACTGACAAGTTTGACGAAACAGTACTCATGGGTTCCAAGCACGTTCCCCGGCCAGGGTGCCGCTTGTCCTTGGGACGAGGTTGGTGATGTTGGCCTCGTGACCCTGCTTTTTTTCTCACGGCTGGCTGTAGAACTATACGAAGAAGCCTGCCTACGACGGTATCATCGAGGGATTTCGGTCCAAGTAGTGTATACATCTCGGTCTCTCAGTATAAATCACAGTGAATTATCAATTGTTCAAAATCTATAACTGAAGGAATGGACTAGTAAGTGCTATCTAAGGGCGAACAGTCGTAATTGCATGTGACCGCTCCACTTAGAAACGAAAAATGACATATAGGATTCCAAGGCCCAATCTGCCATTCATGTAGACACGTTGCGGGCCTTGCAGTCCCGGGCATAAGGACAAAATAGTGGACACACTGGGAATTGAACCCAGCACCCCCCGCAAACGCGCTCATTAGATGCTAAGCGGATGTGATAACCAACTACACCATGTGCCCCTTTGTGGGAAGGGAAAAGGCAAATTTCGTTCGGCGCCGCAGTGCATCGGCTCAACTACGCGTCGAAACTTGTGCTTTGCAGACTTTCCCGAGAAACATCGCTTACAGGTACGTGGGCCAAGCGCGCCTCCGGAGGCTTGTCGTCGTGCTCCCCGTGCACGTCGCGCCTGGGGGTCAAAACGTTATCGGAGTGCTCTGAGTTACCTATAACCCTTCTCAAACTATCACCAAGATGTCCTTGAGGCACTTTCACCTCGAAATGAGTATTTGGGACTCGCCATCGGGGGTCAATAAGCGCCTCTGGAGGTTTTTTCGCTTGTAAACTTTGGGCGTGTGCCACACCACAGATGTTTGCCGACAATCGTGGTGCGCACCATACACGGCTTGACCGCGGTGCAACCATACTGGAAAACTGACGTTCTGAGAACTTCTGTCTACGTACCCGAAAAACCATAGCGAGCGCCTTCGACGATCTTTGGTCGGCATTATTATGGAGGTCGATGTCCAGTTGTATGAGGATATATGTTCGGGGATTACGTAGTGTGACCATGCGCTCTGCACTGCCGAGAATTAAAGAAGCTTGCTAACTGAATACACTAGACGTTTCTTCCGCAGCGAATGGTGTTTCCATGGTTTCTGCGACAGCAGGGTGACACCCCGAACAGAGAATTCTTCGGGAGGTGCGGGGATATATACACTACTTGACAGCGGATGTAAGAATCAGCGTCGCATGCCCCGCGCCGGGTGGTGTGCTCGGATCAGCGGCAGGCCCCTGCCGAGCCCCGCCAGCCTGCTCTTCGGCCACCTTCCAGCTCATGCTCGCTGTGATTGCTCGAGACGTGCCCCGCCGAGATATGTTGCTTTTCAAGCTGCATAGTACTTGCTTTCTTACCTGGGATGTTCCAAACATATATTCACGGTATATTCAAGTGCTTCCAGCGGTGGAACAGAGTTGGGCAATGGCTTCGGTGCGGTAGGGTTGGGGCTCGGCCGCGGATTTCCGGTGATCCGAGCACACCACCCGGCGCGGGGCGATTTTTACATCCGCTGGAATGTCGCCCATCGCACGCAACTCAATGCTCACGGTAAGGGCAGAGGAAGATTCAGGAGCTGGCCAGGTACAGCCCATTTTCAAGCATGCGACGGACCATAGGATGCCAGGGCGCTATTTCAAGGTGACACATGGCGAAAGGGCACAACTTGCGCGCTTTGCAATAGATAGCTAGGAAGAGACATCATACATGCAGGGATCACTTGTGGCGTCACACAGGTATAGGTTCGTCGAATGTGTTCTGCATGTGAACTTCTCACCGAGAAGACCCCTCTTACGCTTATGCTCCGGCTAGGTGACCCCCTCTTTTCTTCTTCTTCTAGATCCCATTGATTGCCCTGCGAGGCCGAGCCTCATGGTAGGCCTTAAATACAATACACCACTGTCTACGTGGGTGGTAGTAAGAGTGGGCGGGACATAGTTGACCCCTCTTTTCTTGTGCGCTAGTCCGCGTACGAGAAAAGAAAAGGGTCATCTTCTTACGGGATTATGCTCCATTGACAGCTCGAATCAAAGTTTGAACCGTGAGTCAAGCGCTCCGGTATCCGACTAATAAAGAGGACAGGATCGCCGCCACGCACGCTCGCACTCTTTCAGGAGATTCACTCCTGATCGGTACCCTTTCGAATCCATCCAAGGGTTCGAACACATACAGAGCGCAGGGCGAACCTTCCGTGCCTCGTTAGGGGCTTGGATACGGCAGTACACCTACCCCACTCCCTCCTTTACACGATCAAGTCAAGTTTACGAGTCGATCCGTCCCCTCAAAACTGACGATGAACGCCGCCTTCTCTCAAGCCCCGTCGATGGCAACCATCCAACCGTCTCGACCTGACCTGACGCTCTCCATAGCGCCAGTGGCCTTCCCTGAGAGCCTCCTGAAGGAGCTATCTGCCTCCGTGAGAGGCCCAGTGTTGCGTCCCACAGACTCAGAGTACGCCGCTTGCTATCATCACTATCTTCACCCGAGCTGACCTCCGAGCGCTGGTAGGTACACCGAACGTGCCAAGACGTTCAACGGCAAGCTCAAGCCTACGTGTCGCGTTCTGGTTTCCCCGTTGGACGCGCACGAAGTCAGTGCAGTCGTTCAATTCTGCCGTAAGCATGACATCTCGCCGTCTGTGAGGGCAGGAGGGTACGGGATCGCGGGTTGGGCGGTCGCGGGAGACCTGATCATCGACATGAGCATGATCCGGGACATCGACATCGAGCCGCCCGTGCCAGCTGGAGAGGACGACGGTTCCTCCAAAGATTGGACGCCTATTGGCAGCAAAGGAAAGGGCCGAGCACCCCTCCTGCAGGCCGCCTCTACCTCTGCAGAGGATGGACGGTTGATCGTCGATGGCACTCAAACCAACGCATCAACCGCTTCAAGGAAGCGGCGTCGGGACGACCGCTCACCCTCGCCAGGAGTCGACGAGATTGGCTCTAAGACTGGCCACGGACAATTCGATGGCGCGTCGCATGCCGTGGCATCCTTCCTCCGTGGACCTCCTCTGCTCCCTATCCCCGGAGACACTCCTCGCGGGCCTCCCGTCAATCGTCAGCGCTTGCATTCACCAGTTCCCCCATCCCAACAGGACGCCGAACATCCGATGAGCGAGGCTCCTCACGTATCAGAGCCAGACCGGCCTCGAGGTAGAAGTCTGCTGCAGCCCGTCCCCCCGCCCCTGACCGAGGATACGCGCCAGAAATCGGGGGACTCGACGACCTCGACGGACAGCGTCTCTCACTTCTCCGCGTCCACTGGCGTCTCTCATTCGTCAGACGCGACGTCGCTTCCTAGCCCCGTGGACGGCGATTCGAGTGTGAATAGCACAGACGACGCCAGCGGCCGCGTTGCCATCCGCTCAACGAATGCTACGGACGTATTTGACTACCTCTCGTCCAACCGTGCGCCACCGATGTTTGGTCACACAGTAGGTGTTGACGGCGTGTCGACAGGGGTGTCCGCGATGGGCCCGTTCTCCATGAGTCGATTCGTGATGCCGCCGAACCCTGGCAGTGGTGGCGTTGCGGCGTTCAACCCGATGCTGGGGTTCAGCATGTCCCTTCCTGCGTCAACGCAGTACTCCCTCCAGTCTGGAATGCCAATGGTCTCTTCTGGACAGTCTATGCCAGCGTTCGGTTCCGCTTCCTCGTCAATGCCTACGCCCGTCGCTATGCCTGGTGGTCCGTTCGCGTCCACCCCAGGAACGCTCGGCCTGTCGCACGCGCACGCGCAGGCGGGCCAGGACGGAGAGAGTGGCAATAACGTGCAGGAGCATGCACGCCATCTGGGCAATACGTATCATTCGAAGCCCATATTCCCGCACACCTATGTCACATTTGGCGCAGGGATGCGCCAGAAGGAGGTAGACCTGTACACGGCTGACCATCCGTTCGAGGGCATGAACCCGGTCACTAACGAGCGCGAGGAGGGCGTCGTGCCGTACCATGTACCAATGTGAGTGCCATTTGTGGTCCGTAGTGCAGGGCCATGTTTTCATCCGGATACTTTGATACAGGTCTGCACATCCGGTCGGGTCTTCGATCATGCTGCTGGGCGGGTTCGGGTTCATCAGCCGGATGTATGGCCTCAGCGTGGACAATCTCGTCGAGGTAGAAATGGTGCTTGCAGACGGGCGGATCGTGATCGTCAACGCAGAGAGCGATCCTGGTGAGTGTCTGCGTACTGGTGAACTTGCATAAACTGATTATGGGGGTTGGAGACCTTTGGTGGGCCATCCGTGGAGCAGGTTCAGCCTTCGGTATCGCTACGCGGTATAAAGTCAGGGCTTTCCCCGTTCCAGTCGTCTTTGCCGGCAACTTGATCTAGTGCGTCCTCGTCTTCTGAGCAAGCACACGAGTCGTCGCCGCTTACAGGATCGATTCTGCTCTTGCAGCCGCTTCCGCCGCGCGACCGCCCCATCGCTGATCAAGCACTTCCGGGACTGTATCAAGGGATGCCCGCGCGAGCTGTACGCGAACGTGCTCCTCACGGCCGGACCGGCGAACAAAGATTCGCTCGTGGTGATCCAGATGTGCTACGTCGGTCCCAAGGCGAAGGGCATGGAGTACCTGCAGGCGATCTCGAGCTGGGACGGGGAACGGTGCCTGCTCAACGAGGTGAACGAGAAGAGCTTCTTGAACCAGCAGGATAGTGTCGCGCAGGTGTTGCGAGGCCAAGGCAAGTTCCTCCCTTGGATTTCGTTGACCGAGAGCTGATACGGGCGTTCGCCCATAGCGGGACGGCAGTGGTTCCTCCGCTCCACTCTTGTTAGCACCCTCTCAGACGAAGTCATCAATCAGACCGTGCTCGCGTTCGCAGGCACGCCTGTCGGATGCAGTGAGTACATATAGTCATCGCGTTCGAGACGAGGACTGACTTAGGTTGCGCAGCTTGGATCTTTGAGCTTGCGGGCGGCGCGATCGGAGACTTCGAAGACACTTGCCTGCCGAAGGAGCAACGAGAGGCGACTTGGACGGTCGCTGCGCTCCACCAGTGGGACATGGGAATAGACGATCCGCGCTGCATCACTACTGCAGAAGACGTGAGCAACATCCTAAGTTTACGGCATTGCGCGGACGCTGACATGGCTGCACTGTAGTGGATGAAGACTACCATCTCTCCGGTGTCCACTGGGGGTCCACTTCCCACTGTAAGTTGCCATAAAATGTCATACATACCAACTGACGCTGATAACACACCTGCGAAGTTCCTTGGCCGGCACGAAACTCTGGCTCGCACGAAACAATGTTTCGGTAAGAACTGGGACCGGTTGGTGGAGCTCAAGAAGAAGTACGACCCAGACTGCTTCTTCAAGAACAGCTTCTGGCCATTGGACAAGGGCGGACAACCAATCGAGCCGTTGACTAACGAACCGCCGTCTCCTTGAAAAACCATCTCGTCATCATCGTCGTTTTGCTCTCTGCTGTAGTCTTTGTACACATAATCATCGCATGCTGTCGACAAACGTTATCCCTGCTCACCCAACCTGGTGCCCCATGCGCGCATATCTCTTGTTCTGTGCTTCTACATTGCAAGCAAATCCTTGGCACACCTTGTAATGTATGCACAGCGCTCACGGTCGATTATTCGCATTGCGTGATTATCATGATACCTACTAATACATGCAGAAGACAAACAGTATATATAAGGGTAAGCGGGAGGTATGCGGGTAACGACGGCAGGAGGGATATATGGCTGGTACAACATGGACAGGAGGATAGATGATTCATCGCATGCTCACAAGTACATCTTCAGGGATAACACGAAAGTCGAAACAATGATGATACACAGCCTCTATTGTGAGACATTGCAGGGCCAGGTCATGATGGGTTGAGGATATACAGCACGAGCAAGTGCGCATGAAAGTGTGAAGGGAGCAGGTGGGCACTGTAGAAACATGCGGAAGGGAGGAACGACGAAGAGAGCATGAGACGAAGAATAGTCGTGCAAGTTCACAGATGCGAACAGTCCACGAAGAGAGAATGCGACACGCAATGTCCTAGTCCACGGGTACTAAGAAACTGGCGAGGACCCAGCCAACCTCTCCTGCCTGGTTTCGCGCGAGCAAGAGACAGTCTTCGCCGTCGTCTACGTACAGCGGGAGATCGCGGTGCGTGGACGGATGCCCCGCCTCCTGCAGTATATCATACACGTCATCGACGACAAGCGTGAAGAACGGCAGATCGCGGTATTCAACGCCCTCTGGCGGCTCGCACGAGTGGATTACCCGGCACTCGTACAGCGACGGTATCTGGCCTCCGCTTCCCCGACTTCGTGTTGATATCGCCGGCCGCGGCCCGAAAGTCGGCTTATTCGGGGATGGTGACGGACTCTGATAGTTGTTAGGGAGGGAGGGAGAGCGTCGGTGTCGGGTGTCATTCGTAACATTGTTTGCGCTTGTACGGAAGCTGTCGGTAAGGCGTCGCCTAAAACTAGGCTTTCTTGACGGGCGACCACGACCGCCGTCGTCTTCGATAGTCGCAGGGAGACTGTGCAGGCTCGGGTTACTGCTGTTCAGAGCGATGTCGTCGTCGACATCGAGATATTTGGTGGAGGACTGGGACTTGTTGAGCTGTTGGGGCATTGGCGAGCTCTTCGTCCGCGAATACGAAGGCTTGGTAGAGGCAGGCGCGAGCGCAGCGAGTCCGGGAACGCCGAACCCCGCGAATGACGGCAGCGCTTCCTCGACCACTGGGCGCGTTCGTGACGACGACGGCCGTCGTGACTTCGCAGACTTGCTTGATTTTTTCGAATGGAGACTCTCCTCCGATTTACGCGCAGCCATCGCCCGGTATTCGCTCTCCATCGAGTGGGTCGAATGCACGCTCCTCGTCTTTGCACTCACTGGACCAGGCGAAATGGGAAGAGACGGGTCTAACGTACTGGGCTGAGGGTGGGAGATGCTGAGAGGGTCGAGGGCAGCAAGGACCGACGAGACTACGACGCTTCTTGTTGCTTCCGGTTCGCTCAACCGCGGCTTGCTGGGCCTGGTCCGCTGCTTGTCCGGAGTAGTCTTCTTCTCCAACGGCCGGACGATATTGAGGTCCTGGATCTGCACCTCGACCTCCGCAAATCGACCCCACCATACACGAAGCGTCTCGGAGGCGCCCTGGTTCGCCTCCTCGTCCACTTTGAGCGCGTCCCAGAGCTCGCTCCACCGCTCCCGCACGTTGCTGTAAAATCGCCGCTGAATGTGCGCGAACTTGAGTATGCACGCTGCCATACCCTTGTCGATGAGTGCGAGGTAGGTTGGGAGCTCCGCAAAGAGCTGCGCGCGGAGCGCCACGTACGACTGCGATGCCTCGAGGAGCTGGGGCGGCGGCCGGCTCTTGGCCACGTTCAGGTTCAGCAACCCATAGTGCAGAGGCTCGAGCGTGTGCATCGCCTCCAGCAGACGCAGCGGCGCGACCATCGTGTCGACCAAGCCGGTCAGGAGGGGTAGCAGCCGCTCCCTGAGAACATCCTTCGTCTCGTCGCATATCGGCAGGAGTTGGTCGCGAATAACTTGGAGGAACGCGTCGAACGCCTCCGAGGGCACGTCGTCTGGGCCCATCCAGATCACGCGCCCGAACGTGTGCGCCCACTGGTCGAGCGCGCCCATGAGCACCTTCACCGAGTCCGCCCACTTCAGGCTGTCGCGCGCCAACTGCTCCATGAACGGCTCATAGCTCTTGAGCTGCTCGCCCATCGCCTTGACCGCCTCCGCCTCCGCGTTTGCCTCCGCACCTTCCTTCGCCTTCAGCGCCGCCGAGCGAAGGCTCTTCATCCGCCCGAGGCTCACAGACGCCGCGACCCCAACACTGAGCGTACTCTTCTTCTTCGCCTTCACCGTCTCTCCGACTTTCTGCGGGGTGCTGATAACAGCCGCGCTGGTGAGCACGTCCCGCACGACCTCCCTCCTTCTCCGCCCTTCATTGACGCCCCGCGCCACCTCCTCCATTCGCGCATGGGCCTCTATCAGGTTCGCCTTGTCCGGATGTGAATCTGGGGTCTCGGAGATGATCGCGTGGAGCAGCAGTGGGTACTTCGTGAGCCGCTGCACGGGCTTGATCAGAAGCGAAGGGAGGTCCCATGCACCCGAGTACGCATGGGCGAGCGCCTGCGTCTGCGCGAGGTAGGCGTTGAAAGCGGGCGTCCGCGGCAGGCTGTTGAAGTGCTCGAGGCCGGTCGCCTGCTTCGTGATGTACGTCCGGTAGAGCGGTTCAAGTTGCGGGATCTATGTTGCCGCGTGCGACACGACATGACGGACCACGAGATGGAAAGACAAGCGCGGGCATGAGCACGGGAACAACGAACGAATGAGGTCCGCGGTCATAGCCTCGGATATGAGAGCAGGCATGGAAGAGGACGGGGACGTACCACTCTGAGGAAAAGCTTGCCCACATAGTCATCCCCCTCGCCCCCCTCCACAAGTTCCCCCAGCGCCCATTCCAGCTCGCGCGCAAAATCCTCCGAGAACCGTGCGAGTTCCGATACGTTGCTGAACACGATCTTCACGTCCTCTTTCGTCATCGGGGGCTGGCCATTGGGCAGATACGACGCTGCGGAGGCATCGGACGCGGTCGAGAGCGTGCGAGATGAGGACGCCGACGATCCAGGGGGGGTGGCAGGGTTGGCAGAGAAAGAAGACATTTGGCCTAGACCATCCGATCGACGGGGTCACCGTCAATTGACGATCATGAAAGCTATAAACCTGACCCGAACCGAGATACGCACCTGAAGCTAACGGCATATGAAGGTCTCGCAGATACGTAAGGTCGGTGGCGTACGTTCTTTCGGACTTGAGGAGCTCTATGAGAGCGTGCTCGCGCCTGGTCATGTTTGATGTGCGCGGGGAATCCGTCACGTCAGTGGGAGGGAGAAGCGTTGCGTCGTCGTCCTCGGAAGGCTCGGCGCCAATGGACAAGGAAGCGGTCGACATTGACGGCTGTGGAGTCAGAGGCAGCGGTTTGTCGGGAGTTGCTGAACGTCGCGGCTGTGATAGTGGTGGGTCCAAAAGACCTGAGACGGAGCCCAAGCTGCGAGAGTGCAAAAGCGGCATGTCGGGGTCGTCTGGATCAAGCGAGAGTTCGGCAATCGGTGCAAGGGACTCTGAAGACGAGACAGAAAGCAATGGTGGCACACCGAGCGCACCTTTGGCTGTTTGCCGCAGACGGAGGGGGGATCGTGGTGGGATCGGGGGAGACGTGCTGACAGAGGAGGAGGAGAGCTGAGACGAGTGGGGGGTGGACAGCGAACTGGAGGTGGAGGTGGTGCTGGTCGTGGACGATGTGGATAGCCTGTAGTCTTGTGGAGGACCGGAGCTATCCACGCGGCGAGAACGAGGCTCGTTCGCGGTCGTGCTCTCGGATAAAGAACTCATTTCCGTCGATTGCGACTGCCAGTGCTGCTCCGTTGCTGGGCCGTTGCTTATCCGCTCCCGCCGCGGGAAGTCCGCATCCACCGCTCTGGCCGTCAGTCTGCTCCGAGTCGGCACGATGCACGGTGTACGTCGGTGCCGCCTGCGGCGTCGATGAACTGTTCGCTGTCAAGGCGGATGGAAGACCGCGCAGAATCCGGGATACTCACGATGGGCGTTCGAGGTTACACGTGCGAGTCGCCTGGTTGCGAATGGACCCAAAGGTGTGGGCGATATAGTCTCTACGTTCTCCTGTAATAGAGCGTGCGATCGCACGAGACCTTCCAACTGCGTCCTTGTCAAGAATGAGGCAGAACGAGGCAGAACAGGACACAAAGGTGGCCGTCGAAGATGAAGGTCGGACGAGCACCCGTCCTGAAGTGCGAACCATGTGCCTGCCACGCCGGGATAACCAAATTGGGAAGGTATATTCGACATCATGATGCGGGGTCTACCTTAGGACAATGATCCGTTGAATTACGTACGGAGTAGCAAAAGCAGTCACTGGGTAACATCTTCTATGTTTACGACTGAGCGCAACATGCTACGTAGCAGCTGCGTAGCCACGTATTCAAATGGACGATTGATGGCGAAGCCGCACAGTGGGCAGCTGCGCAATGGTGAGCTATAATCGGAGCGCCCTTCGGCAGGAATCGGCGGAAGGCAAAGCGCGAGTTCATGTAGTCTCGACCAAGACCGTCCGGTGGGTGTCGAACGACAGATGGATATTACATACAAGATTCGTAAGATTTAAATCCATTCATAGTGCCCAAGGCAAGCCTTCTGTTGCAGGGGCCACCAGAGACTAGAAACAGGGTACTCAGCGTCGCTTACCCAACTCTGCTGTTACGTGACTGCATACTAATGGTGCTGAACTGGACAGCGAATGCGTTGCTGCGTGCATGTGCGGCTGTGTAGCTGTTCTCTCTCTGGCAGACTGGATGTGTTCAGTAATATGGACCTACTTGGACCCACAGTGAGCGGGGGATCGCGGCGGTCGTGAACACTCGACGGGGCACAAAAGCCTGAGAGAGCAGAATCTTGGCCCAGTTCGAATTCTGCCTGAAGGGCGGCAATGATTTCCGGTTTACCGGGCCATCTGCTATTCCCACAGCGGCACTGCGGACCGAGTTCAATTCCAACCCTCCGAGCACTCGTGAAAAGCCTTGAGGCCGTCGGACCTCCGAACAGATCTTATGGTCTCAGGCAGACGGTGAACGCGGAACTTGTTGTCGCCGATCCTTTTCCTTGCAGTTCCTCTTCGTAGGATCTTCCGACATGACAACAGCTAGACGATTTCGCTTCGAAGCGGTATACCGGCGCAAGGCTGCAACCGAGCTGTTGAATGTCGTGTCGTCGACGACCAAAGCGAAGATCAGACACTCTAGCTCGCAGTCCGGTGCTGCCCGGAGCCTACCTCTCGTGGGTATCAAAGTGCTTGAGGTGGGACAGGTTATCGCAGGGCCTTTCTGCGGTCAACTGCTAGGGTGAGTGACCTCGTCGCTTCTAAGCATACGTAGCATCCCTACAAGCTGAATTTCGTCGATGGTTGCCGGGTCAGTCATTACGGAGCTGAAGTAATCAAAGTCGAACCACCCAAAACCGGCGACCCGCTTCGTGTATGGCGCGAACTCGACGTAGACGGGGTCAGCCCCTGGTGGCGGAGCATTGCTCGGAACAAAAAGAGCGTGACCATCGACATGCGCAAGGAGGAAGGCCGAAGGTAGGCTGCGCTCCTTGCGTCTCGATGGGCTGCTCACGCCCGCAGTCTCGTCAAGCAGCTCGCAGTCCAAAGTAACGTCATGATAGAGAACTTCAAGCCCGGCAGTGAGTAGACTGTTCATAGAAACTCAAAAGTGGACCTTGAACTGACTGAGTGACTGGCGCTGGACGTCCTCGCGTTCGTTCTGTACAGCCCTTGAGAAGTGGAACCTCGGTCCCGCCGATCTTCACCCGCTAAACCCCTCGCTGATATTCACGCGCGTCAGCGGATACGGCCAGACGGGGCCCTGGGCTTCCCGTCCGGGCTATGCTTCTGTCTGCGAGGCAGAGTCTGGCTTCCGATATATCAACGGCATCCCAGATCCAGAAACTGGCTCACTCTCTGGCGCCCCCATCCGCCCGAACATCAGTTTGGGCGACTCTGTTGCGGGACTGCATGCAGCTTTTGGAACTGTATATCAGTCTCATAGACTCGTCATGAGGTTGAGCATCTTCGACTGAGATTGACAAAAACAGGTCCTCGCGCTATTATCGCGGAAGAACAGAGAAGCACAGGGGCTACAGGGCGGCCAGACAGTGGACGTCAGCATTTTCGAGAGGCAGGTTCCCTCCGTGCGATTCTATACTCAACGGCATTGCATCGCTCAATTATTCCCTGCCCTCGCACAGCATGATCAACCTTATGGAAGGCATTATTCCTGAATACGACCGCAAGGGCAAGGTACGCACGCCGCTTAGTCATGAATCTACCTCCGCACAACCTCCACACAGCCTCGCCACCTCGGGCTCGATTAACGAATCATTGTAGATACGCGGGCCCTCAGGCTCCTCCGTGACCGGGATCGTGCCCACGAACGCCTATCCTTGCCTGCCTGCACCGTCGGCGCCCAACGTGCCGGCGTATGTTGTCATTGGCGCAAACGCCGACTCGATCTACGTCCGCCTTATGACCGCCCTCGGCCGCGTGGACCTCATCGGGCCCGACTACGCACAAAATCACCACCGCGTCGAGCGCCAGGCGGAGATCGAAGCTGCGATCGCTGCGTGGACGAGCACGCGCTCTCCAGAGGAGGTTGAGGAGACGCTACGTAAGGTCGGGGTGCCAGTCGGCCGGGTCCTAAACGTGAAGGACATTGTGGAGAGCGAGCACGCGCGCGTCCGCGGGCTTGTCGAAGAGGTCTGGGTGCCGAAACAAACACGGACCAAGGTTGAGGGTGCAAGTGGCGGGGAGGAGGGTAAGGGCGAAGGGTGGAGCGTGAAGATGTCGAAGGTCGTGCCCGTGCTCGAGGGCTGCGACACGAAGACGCGGTGGGCGGGGCCGGAGCTGGGTCAGCATAACCGGGAGGTGCTCATTGGCCAGCTGGGACTTGATGAGGCCGAGTTTGCTCGGCTGCAGGAAGAGGGCGTCATTGGGAGGTAGTCTCTGCCGGTGAAGCTCATGCGAGATTCATTCATGAGCATGATCACACGAGACGAAGGATGTTTGACCCCCATTCAATACAGCCTTCTTTCTACAGGACGGGACTACTGCGCAACGCTGCGGAAATGGTCATGCGGCACAGACTACCAGGGCATGGAGAATACCTCGCTCTCGTCTCCGCTCCCGGGCTTTCCGAACACAACCTCGGCAGAGGGTCTACTCCCTTCCTGGAACGTCATGACAATATTGAACAGCGTCTGGATCTCGGCCGCTCGGGTCGGGTCTGGAGAGCAGCAGATCGCTTGTGGGGTATTGAAGGTGTCGGAGAAGAAGCGTGCCCGCAGCAGCTTCGCGTCAATCGTGTCCCCCGCGAAATGATCGTCCCCTAGTTCCCGGATCAGTTCACCGCAGATCGCTTTGGCACGCTCGAGGCGGACAGGGGACCCGGAGAGCCAAGGGGGCTCGTCAACCAGCCTGTTCTCCAGGAAGTGATTGGTATGTATTACGATGCCGTTCGAGTTTTCCGGGAGGTAGACGCCTCCACGCGGGGAGAGCTCGAGACCGCGCGCCTTGCGAGTGTCTGCAATGAGGATATGTTGGCTGGACGCTGCACCGCCGAGCTTCTCTATCGCAGTGATCGCGCTGTCTACCGACTCGTTCTCAAGTGAAATCCGAAGCAGACAGTGGATAGGTAGAAGAGAGGTCGAGATAGGTCGGGCCCGGATAGCGTTCAGAAGGACGCCAACCGAGGATGAGTTGAAACCGATCTTCCCGACGATTCCTGGCTAGTCCGGGTATCAGTTTCGCTTTCCATTGAAAGAATCGAGCAGCGAATTCACCTCGGTGACCATCCATATCTTGGGCTTCCCATCCTGCTCTATCGACACCATCGCTAGGTTCTTCCCTACGCCCACTCTCCAGTCCCAGTTCTGGCCCAGAAGCTGCCTCTCGAAGCCAGAGCCAGCTGAGTCGCGTAACCGCCACGCGAGGCTGGTGCACCCGTCGTCCCATTGCCCCAACGCGATCTCGCTGCGCGCGTTGAGGGCGACGATGTCCAGGACGTCGACGCTTCGACCGTGTTCATCAGCGTAGGCGCAAAGACCGTCCGCGATGCCCTCCATCTCCTGGAGCAGATGCGGTACAAGTTGCGCGATTGTTGCGCGGAACTCTGCTGCGACGGTGCGGACGTGCGCCCAATCAAACTTGCACGCCTCCTGGAACAGCTCGCGATAAATGGCTAGCTGATCGAGAATCTGGGCAGCTAGTCGCTTGCCGTGCAGCTGCCCTACCTGTGGACCTCCGATACGTAAGTACTATCCATGTAGTCGGACGCGCTGCATCAGGATTGAGACGTCATACCTCGTACGGCGATCCTCGCAGCTCTAACCGAGGGATGTTGAATGTCTCGCTTGACATGACAGTTGAAAGTAGCGAGATCGCAGGCTTGTGGAGCATGCACATTTGGGGGTGCAAAAAGCCGATATGTCTAGACATGGTCAGGAGACACCCAGCCTATGGATAAGGTGATCCAATTTTAGCACCAGTCTTCCCATCGGTAAGTCATAGGACGCACCTCAAGGGACATTGTACCACAGCTTGCCTAGCGAGTCACCTCGAGATGCTGAAATTCAACCTCAATGCTGCTGCGATTGGGCGAACTCCTCATCGTGAAGTCTGAACTCACCCAATGCGCACGTTCCAGTTCCTGTTACCCAGCGATTGTGGCTCTCCGTTGCGACCCTTGGCCAGTGACCTCAACTTTGTCTGCACGGGGTACCTTCTGCCCCGCAGAAAGCGCGTATTGGGAAAAATATACATTACGATCACATCCATATCAACGTAACTCATGGTAAACCGAGTAGACAGGGAATTGAGGAAGCGGGAAATCAAGAAAGCGCAATAGAAATATATGTAGTATACGTAGAGGAGACGGTATAGGGATCACGAACTGGGGGGCATTCTGAAGCATTGATCATACTCGCAAGAGGTACGCCAACGAAGTGGCATGCGTAATAACTGTTGAGAGAGTATGCCTAATTGCAGACTCAATGAGGCTACCTCGGGGGGAACGCGGGTATGTAGAGTCTGCGGCTGCACGTAAGTATAGTGCGAATTGGGATCAATGTCATGTCATTCAAGGTTTGCCAGAACGCAACCACTTGTTCCTACGGGAAGCTTTCGAGGTTGTGGAGCCTTTGGAACCATTGCTCGCATTACTCTTCACCGAGTTTCCAGACATCGAGTCCCGACGTTTAGGCATCTGTTACATCACATTATAAGCGAACTTGGGCAGAACGAGCCAGTTTCAGGCTTCTTGACATCAGACAAACTCACTTTCATGCCACGCTGGTGTATCAAGACATCTTCTAGTGGTGTGCGAGTCTTCTGTCCACCAGTGGCACGTGTACAGGGGGACTGATGCTTGGAACTCTTGCAACAAAGAGCACTGATGCACATGTGGTTAAGGGAATGAGCAGACGTACTCCGTTACTTTGCTCGGGAATGGTATGTAGCGATGGTGGGCGAGAAACATAGCAACTCTGAGCCGTGCAGATACTTGTCTGAGATGCTCCGCCTCCTGGGTCCTGTGACAGATTTAAGTAATTGATGATGAAAGAATTGGGAAGCTCAATTACCAAAGTGATCTTACTCAGAGCCGCGGACCGCGCCTATCCACGGGTTGAGCAAAGACGAGAACCACTGAGAACTTTGTCACATACCCTCCACTCTGTTTCAACGGCGCGTGCAAATTCAGGCTCCTTGTTGCAGCGAGCCTGCCATTCTTTGAATGTTTTCCTGCTGTGCACCGTCAACGCCTCCAGCGATGCCTTGTCCATCGCGTACACTTGAGCAGGCGTGCTCTCATCCTTGAAGCGCCAATGTACTGTCACAAGGTTGTTGTCGCCCAAGGGTATCGGATAGCTGACTAGCCACTGACTACTGTGCGGCCAGGGAGGTGTCGTGTGGAAGTGGGCGGAATCGAGAAAACCCGAGTTGGGATATATCGCCCTGCAGAACTCGCGGTATACCTTCGGGATACTGGGAGACTCTATAGGTTCCCTGCGGAGCGTACCCATGAGGAATACAGTCGCGGGGCGTGCGCCAGGGATTGCGTTCCTCACGAGAAGGCACGGACGATATTTCCCAATGCTCCTGCTCCTTAAGTCGCGAAGTGCGGCTTTCGATCTCTGCAATGCGACGGGATCCTGTCGTATCACCTCCGTGGCTTGGAGGATGTACTCCACCGGGGTTGCGAGAGACTCTCGAAGGTAGCAGATATCGCCAGTCGCGCACGACATGGGAGCAGAACGCGCCAGGCCCGCAGGTACTATACCGGTGGCGCAAATACTGCACTTCGAGTTGGACATGGTGATAGAGGGTGATGTGTCGAATGGGAGTGCGAAAGAGACAAGTGAGGAGGATGCAATGAGAAGCGAAGGAGGGACGTATGAAATCCTGCCGACCAGGTCGCAACAAGCGAGTCGCGTTGTGGTTGAAGTGTTGAAAAGTTCAAGTGCTGCGTATGGATCGGCCGAGACCAGTTGAGGCGAACCGAAGGGTTTCAGATGCGAGCATACAAAGGAGACACCAGTAGTTGACACCAATGGTCGCCTATAAGCGAGCATCCTTTGTCTTTGGGATCTCCGATCTGCTCTTGCCACTATACTGACACGTGAACATTGTGGTCGTCAAAGGGTATAAAAGGTAATATACATGCTAACCTGTCAGTCACCATCTTGTCATCTACAACTTCTCCGCCGAAGATGGCTTCCACCACCTTGTACTGCCCTGTCCCGGGCACGTACGGCATCGCCCAGCTAGACATCGAAGCAACTATCGAGCACCTGGATTCCGAAGCTCGGGAGGCCGCCAAACATGTCAAGCCGGCACAATGCTCCATCTATTTCTATCTGGTAAGTTTTCGGAGGGCCTCCCTCGCCACTCGGCTAACCACACACCTTCAGGCCACCGAATTTCCCTTCCCGAGCAGACCGTGGACAAGATATATCACATACATAATCGGGCCCGGTCTCCGCGCTGTAGACCAAGACAACTGCTTCACGCCCGAAATGTGCGTCCCCATCTTCCCCGCCACCAAGCACCCGAACCAGCGCGCACCTCTCTATCCAGAGACGCCATTCCCGTTCACGAACTGTTACCACTGGGCCTACACCGACCTCCTTCTCCGCGTTTCAACCGGAGAATATCCCTGTGAAGATGACCCGCGCGTCACAATGCTGCCCGCCGGCGAACACTTGAGATTGGACGCGTTGCTCACGGAGGATCTGGAGGCTGCGATTATCGCGAGAAGGGAACGAGATGGAGGCCAGTTGATACCAACAGACGAAGACGATAACTTCATATGGAGGCCGGACGTGCCTGATGAGCAGATTCCCGTCGTGAACGTCTCCTTGGACCTGGCGGGAACATTGGAGCAGGACAACTTACCAGACCCTATGGAGTTTTTGCGTGAGAGCAAAGCTCTGAGACGGTACGTGGCAGTCGTATTGCAGAAGCTAGCCACTGGTAATCGATACCATGTAGGCTCGTCCGAGAGTCCAACATGCGGAAGAAAGATGCCATTGAAACCTGTCCAGGCTACGACGATGCAGCGTCCCTTCCAGCTAGCTGCATGAGGAGCAGTGAAGACATCTCCATTACTGGGACCAAGGATGCTAAGGGACAGAGATACGGAGGTGAGAGGAGCATTCTCAGGAATATGAATCGTATACTCACATTGATTTGCGCAGGTCTCTTGAAGATATGTCGAGCGTTCAAACGGTTAGTGAGCTGGGCTTTGCTCCACTGGTTGTTCGATGTTAACTAAACTATGTACTCTTTAGATTCTTCCAGATGAACCGAATCGAACGGCGCGGGAGGAAGAAGATGAACACGCGTTCACATACTGGTTTGACGAGGAAAGCGAGATAAGCGCAATTAACCAGATTCCTGAGCCCGATACTAGGAGTGAGTAGTGTCGCTCTGGTTGCCTTGTGCTCAGAACTAGGGGATTGACGTGATAATGAAGAGCTTGTGCCTAGATTGCTTACCCTCTTACGCTCTTCGCTGCCTTTAGGATCGAATAAGGGGGAGGGAGCGACGCGTGTTAGTATCTCGTCGTAACCGCAAGGTTTCCGGTCGAATCAGGTTTCTTGCACTTTGACCAATACACCGCTCTCGCATCAGCTAATCAACTCAAAGTGGACATGCACACACTAGCGCGAGACAGCCGTTGGAGTGCCACGAGATGCTGCTATATGAGTCAATCAGGATATGTTCTCTGAGCAAACAGACCAAATGTGGCCCACGTACCAACGATGTATGTAACAACGCTCCGTGCCAACGAACGCAATCCCAGTCAGTCCGGCTGGCAGTAGCCTGGGTGGAACTCTGCAACTTGATTGTACTACGTCCTCGAAAGTTAGGGACCGGCTATCGGCGATCAGTGAGCGCCCTGCAATTTATGCGCCTTGCATGTCCGATTTTCTGCGGGCGTTTAACACGCCACAAAGCCACAAAGGGCTAGTATCGGTCACGAGTATAACGCCGTGACGTTCCTCTGATGCCGTCATGGTCACAGCGTGTGGCTCCTTGGCTCGGCCAAGTGCATCAATTGCCCATCTGCTATTGGAACAGCCCCTGGTCGTCACAGTGACTTATTACATTCGACTATAGAGTGGCACCCGGAGCCAGCGTTGAGGAGCGCTGTCTCTTCCGTTGCTGACTACTTATCGATGGACCCGAAGCATGGGAATCTGTCTCGACCCTACATCACGGCGGTGAGAAACATGAGAGATGCCTAAATTGACTTGGAGCACACAAAAGGGAATATTTGTTGTCTCGCAAAAAGGGGGATCGCATGACAAGAGCCGAAGGCGTTGAGTACGGATGTGACAGTGACGTAAAAAAACAGACGCCGAAGGAAATCGGCGCCTGCACGGAATTATGCAACTAGCGCAGTAAATCCATCTCTTGCACAAACCATCACATCCGCCTAAGCGGGCACTGAGCCGTTCCAACACGGCCAAGGAAGATGCGAAACTTGGCCCTATCGACTCTAGACCGGGTCTCCCTCACAGAGCGAGATTTATCAGGAGAGCCGTCCGGCGTCACCTGCCTCGCCGTAGATCTCGACCAAAACGCCCTGTTCGTGACTACAGAGAGCCATGACACCACAAATGATGCAGATGTACATGTGAGCATCTGTAAAATTACCCATGAGGAGGAGCAGGTAAGCTCTTAGACTTTCTTCGCTGACTTGCGAGTTGTGAACCATACACAATTGTTTTAGGAGCGGATCTCTCTAGTCACTAGTTTCAGAACACCTACCACTCTTGCCACGAACCCATGGTCTGCAGACTCAGCGAGGAAGGATTCTCATATCCGCGAACACCCTCCCGAGGTGCTCTCGCTCCATGTCGCAACGGACTCCCATTCACTTGTCGTGATCACTCGAGCAGGCGATATCACGACAATTTCCTTAGACGAAAATCAGTCTACGGTGAGGATCGTTTGCGGTATATCCTCAGATCTCGACAATTGACTTCAACTCACCAGGCCGAGGTTGTCGGCTCCGTTGATGGTGGCGTCATGGGTGCAGCATGGAGCCCAGACGATACTCTCCTTGTCCTCGTAACAGGTACATAGATGAACAAGCGCATTATGTGCTGAAAAATGTGGTCAGAGTACACGAACTTCAAGCGATTTTGTCTGCCATCTTTCCGCTGATAATCGGCGTCTTAGTCGATTCAAGTTCGTGGACTCTGACCTCTCCAAACCGGAGAACGGTTCTAGGACTATTTCTAGTCCCAGAATTGTCCCTAAAATTGTCACCTAGCATCGTTCCTGAATCTCCCAACCTCGTGTGCTCTGGCATCCCCTTTCCGTCTAACATGCTTCATCTCCTATCAGGCGAAGATAAATTACTGGTCATGACGTCTACGTTCGATGTACTATCTGAAGGGCCGCTGCATCCTACAGAGTTCGGCGAAGGTCCGTGGTCACTTACTTTCCAGCCATATCGGGGACACTGATCAGGTCATCATCTGCTAGATGCCCCGATAAACGTCGGATGGGGCGCAAAGCACACCCAGTTCCACGGCTCTTTGGGAAAAGCCGCCGCAACATCCTCCATTCCTCCAACAGCGATCGGCGCAAGTCCTGACGACGACGGTCACGTACGCATCAGCTGGCGAGGTGACGGTGCGTACTTCTCTGTCAGCGTGCTCGAGGGCGCGAACGAGGTGAGCGACTGATCGAGTCGGATCGCAAACCCACTGGCTTACATACGGACCGCTATAGACAGAGACACGGCCGCATCGCAAAATCCGAGTATACTCCCGTGAAGCGGCATTACAGAGCACAGCGGAGCCCGTGCCGGGACTAGAGCATGGGCTGTCTTGGCGCCCATCAGGCAACCTCATCGTGGGCACACAGCGATTTGGTAACATTCCGGGACAAACGAGCGCAGCTCAAAATCTCGATGTGGGATCTGGATTGGGACCTGGACGCGAGGGCAGACATGATGTCGTGTTCTTCGAACGCAATGGTCTGCGCCACGGGGAGTTTACCCTGCGGGAGTGGACGCCTGAGGGCCAGACCACCAGCGAGCGATTGAAGTGGGGATATCGTGTTCGCGAGGTCGGATGGAGCTCTGACTCGAATGTTCTGAGTGTATGGATTGAGCAGGAAGACGGCGATGTCGGTATGTGGTTTACTCTGACAATCCTTGGCTCGTTTGATGCTTATAGTCGTGCAGTGCAATTGTGGACCACCGGGAACTATCACTGGTCAGTGAAGCAGTAGGTGTCCTCTACGACGACACTGACTTTGCTCCAGGTATCTGAAACAGGAGATAACCGCCCCCGGTCAAGACGGTACACCTGGCCGCTTCACCACCGTTCAATGGCATCCAGAGGACGCTCTCCGACTTATCCTCACCACATCGAGTAAGATCTCATTGGCTGTAGCGTCTCGGCGTACACGTTAATCATCACATAGGCGAAATAATTCAGCGGACGTACGCTTGGGACATCATCAGTTCTCCGAGCAAGCCTCCAGTCGACTCGGGCACCGTTGCAGTAGTGGACGGTGGTATGTCATTCATCAGCTCGTCCTCCGACAACGCTGCTAACACTTGAACGACAGCAAGCCTTCTTCTAACACCGTTCCGCACGCAGAACGTGCCTCCTCCCATGTCTGCCCACTCGCTCTCTCTGAGGCTACCTACCTCATCTCTCCCTGGCATATTGAAGCGATCTCCGACCCCGATCCACGCGGCCTTCGCGTCTTCGAGAGATCTACTCGCAGTGCTCTGGGAACCAGGTGTTTTAGAAGTATATGATCTCAAGACCCGTCTAGGTGCTGGCCGCGGTAAGGTCATGGATCCCGTCTCTGTATGGGCTGGCCCGGTCCGAGAAGATGGATCATCGAATAGTCACCGCCAGGTCGTGTTCGATCACAGCGCGGACTCGAAGACCGCGGTCCGCCTGGCTGTTCTCGGATCCGGCTCTGCCAGCGACGTTGTGACCATCCTTGAACTCCAGAGCAGCGAATCGAGGACAGCAGAGGTCCTTCTTCCTACTCATAACGGAAGACTGGTCGCTGGCCAGGGTATCTTCTGGGAAGCACCTGACGGACAGCTACACGAAGGTGAGCTTGTAGTTCACACACCCAAAACGGACGCTGACCGTATCCGAAGTCGACGCTGAGAACAATGATCCCGTCGAGGTTGCTCAGTTCCCCGAATTTTGCTTTTGGACTGCGCATGCATTGGTCACGGATGACACGAGCGAGGGGGGAACGACGACCACCCCCCTGTACATCGGGCTGTCGCATGCTGGCAAACTGCACGTTACCGATGGTCAAGCTACCCGCGCACTCGCTTCGAACGTCAACTCCTTCACGACCACGTCTGGGTTTCTCATTTACACCACCACCGCCCACCTCGCTCACTTTGCGCCTCTGAGGGAATTGATGTCTGCCTTGAAGACTGCGGATGTTCCCCTTCCGGAGTCCGAGACGAGGAGAGTGGAGCGAGGCTCAAGGATCGTTACTGCTGTCCCGAGCACGATGAGCCTTGTGTTGCAAATGCCGAGAGGGAACTTGGAGACCATAAACCCGAGACCGCTGGTCATGGAGATTGTTCGCCAGGACATTGACAGGTAAGCGTGTCCTTCAGATATCAAATCCGGAGATTTTCGATTGATGAACCGTTCAGCGGGAATTACGCAAAGGCGTTCACCGCGTGTCGGAAGCATCGCGTCGACCTGAATGTCTTTGTAGAGCACAATCGCGAGGTCTTCATCAAAGGCATCCCATCCTTTGTCGAACAGGTCTCTGATGTTGACTACGTCAACCTCTTCCTTACAAGTCTAAGGTTTGCCGTCCACTTTCTACATCTACGTACTCTAACGTGGAGCAGTCAGGGCAACCTCCCACCGGAGCTTATTTCCCGGATATGTGACGAGATCCGGGTAGAGTTGGAGCGCAGGGACCTCAAGGAATATGTCAACTCCATATTGACGGCCCATGTCGTCAAGAGACCGCCAGACCATGAGGCGGGCCTGGCATTATTACTTCGGTTGAAGGGTATGTTCCTGTTGTACTCCCGCGCTTCATACACGACGACGAACTCCAGTACAGAGTCTGAACCAAATCTCGTCGAGGACGCTGTCAAATATATCATCTTCCTGGTCGATGCAGACAGGCTGTTTGACACTGCTCTTGGAATGTACGACTTCTCACTAGTCCTCATGGTAGCACAGCATGCACAGAAGGTTTGTCCTGAGACAAAACACGTCTAGAGGCGATGATTCACGTTCAAGCAGGACCCAAGAGAGTACCTGCCTTTCCTAAGGGAGCTGCGTGCTTTGGATCACTACTACCAACGCTTCAGGATCGATGACCATCTGAAGCGGTATGAAAAGGCCTTGACGAACCTCAGTCTCGCCGGTCCTGCGCGATTCGAAGAGGCTATGGCCTATGTTGAGAAGCACCGTCTGTATGACCATGCTCTCCTAACCTGGCGAGGCACAGAAAGATACGAGGTATGGCCGCTCCTCCTGTACTTCCCTGATCGTTCTCAATACCGCACAGTCGGTCTTGGACATCTACGGCGACTGGCTTTTCGAGCGTCGAGATTTCCGTGAGGCTGCATTTGGTACGTTCGGTCAGACCATATTCGTTGCTTGACGTGTAATGTCCACGTAGTTTTCCGACAGGCGAACAAGCCCCAGAAAGCGATGATCTCGCATGAGAAGGCGCTCGATTGGCAAGAGTTGTTCGAGCTTGCTGTGCAGCAAGAATTGTCTCTCGAAGACCTCAAGAACACTGCCTATCGTGTAGCGGGTGCGGGGGAAGCTGACTTCCATGGAGCATAAGCTTACTGTGATCTCCCAGATGACCTTATTTCCAAGAAGAGGACATCGGAAGCGGCACTCGTCTTATTGGATTACGCGAAGGATGTACGTGAGGCCACGATTGCACTCATCGAGGGCAGCCATTTCTCGGAAGCTCGTCGCGTTGTCAGTCCTTCCGTTTACTTTCGTTGATCCCAAGAACACACTAAATAGATGACAGATTGTCCTGCATCGCCGACCGGAGCTCCTTGAAGAGATCATCCATCCAGGATCGTTGGAGTGTCGCTCCCGCATCGCCGAAGAATTAGGGGAGATGAGAGATCAGCTTCGCAAGCAACTCAACAGAGTGCGAGAGCTCCGAGTACGCAAAATCGAAGAACCGGGTAAGCTCTTCGCTCTATACGATACTGCAGTTAGCAAGCTTCTCATCTCTATCACCAAAGATGCGTTTTATGGAGTCGAGGACACAGATCTGCACAACGTGGATGTCATGACAGATATCTCGATGGCACCCACGACTTTCACGCGATACACGGTGGCTCCGTCAGCAGTTTCAAAGGCGTCTTCGAAGTATGCGTCTCCTTTGACAGAAAGTGTTAAGATTGTTCACACAGAGCTTCGGTGCTAGGCGAAGTTCACGCTCAAAGAGAAAGCTCGAGCGGAAGGTCGGCTCAGGAAGGAAAGGCACAGTCGACGAGGAGGAGTACCTCCTCAAATCAGTTTCTAAGCTCGTCACCCGCTTCAACACCACACAAGGTATGCTTCCCTTTCTGGAATCGGGCAAGCAGGTAGCTAACCCATCTCGATCGACCCTTCTGCAGCCGACAGCACTAGCCTTCTCCCGCACCTACTTCAATTCACAGAGGAACATCGCACTGAGGCCGCTTCACTCCAAAAGGAGTTAGAAGAGTTTGCTGTGGAACTGACCGAAGCCGTGGACGAGATTTGGAAGAAAGCAGCCGAGAACCAGGAAGGCGGTGAGGGCGCCAACCCGTCTGCAGATAGCTGGGCCGCACGCATGGAAGCACATGAGAAGCGCAAGCACACCAATCCTGGGGACACCGTACCCAAACCCGATTTAGCGAAGCAGGAATGGAAGCTGAAGCTACTGGACGTGCGCTAGCAGGGCGGAGCTGAGACGGACTTGCGGAGTGGCCTATGCTTGAAATCCGACAGATTTGTAATGGTAGAAGTACTCGATTGCAATGTTGTACACGATTCATGCTGCTTTTCGGGGTAGCGTATCACTCAAAACCGAGTATTTCGTTCGCCGCGGTGATCGCCCTCCTTTCCCCTTCGTCGACGAAAGCGTACTTGAATGGCTCCAAACCAATGATCCGGCGGCCATCCGGGTGCATGATATGTTCGATTGTCCCCCGACCGACGAAGCACGACTCCCCTTCTCCACCGGGGAAGTCACTGTGGCGAAGTAAGGAGCCATCCATACGTCAACGTCCGTTTGAGTATATCAAACGCAGCGAAACACATACGGTGAAGGGAGACCTTGTAAAAATGTTTCGCGCTGGTCGCGCAAATATGCCGCGCTGCAGAACGAACAGTCACATATGTGCAAGAATTGTGCCGCCTGGCCAAACTCACTTCCGTTCGGTCAGAGGCACGGCGGGGATGTACATCACGGACGAGTCTTCCGAGCCATTGTGGTCTGCCTCAACGGCGTGTATGACGTCCGTGTGCCCTGGAAGAAGCGATCAGGGTTTCACAAGAAGTGCCAGCTGCCACAATTCTTACAGTATACTTGATCACCAGGTTTGACGCGAGGAATGGACAGCACCGTTTTGTCTACCCGAAGGTGTGGGTGCGTCACGGGTGTAATTGCTTGAGTTTTCCCCGGAGTGCTTCCGGGGAACTCGGGGTTATCGAGGTCGAGAACCCAGGCGTCGGCGCCAAGAGGTATGTCAGCCGCCGATGAGATCCTTGAAGCAAATTCCGATCGTAGCCGGAAGAACGGCCGTAGGATGATGTATGCTGTCGCTAGCGAAAGCATAGGCAGGACTCGCAAGGTCCCTTCTCCGGGACCGGTGTGAGACAACGCCGTCCAGCCCTGCCATGGGCGGAAGATGGAGCACTGGTTGCTACAGTGTGAAAGCACTGTCAGTCGATTTCGATTTCGAAACTGAAGAACATCGACATACGGAGCGTTGTACAGATCCTGGTTCGCATCAAGGCGAGGCGAGATATCGAAAGGATCATGCTGCCTCCAGGCATCTCCTCCCTCGAGGATCCGCTTCCAGACACTCCTGAACGCAGGATCCTCCCACCTCTCTATGCTCCCCCCATCAATGTGCGGCCCAAGGGTGAAAACACTGGGGCCTGGATGACGGATACGAAAACGATCGAAGTAAGATATCGGGGTCCGCACGCTAACGATCGTGTCGGGGACAGACGTGTGCCATAGCGTGAGTAGATACTTCTGGGCTGCGATGAGCGCCGGGTGAGTGCGCGCGAGAGTCTGCGCTTTGGAGTTGTATATTTCGTAGAAGACGATGTTTTCCGGAGGAGCGCCTAATAGCCTCACGTTTGAGCGATAACATGATGGCGATGCTGGATGGATGGGACATACCTTTGACCTTATCCTCATTGGCTGCGATATACTCCCGGAGAGAGCGCTTCCAGTCCAAAGCTTCCTGGAGGCAGTCATATTCCTTGTAAGAGGGACGGTCTCGAGGCCGAAGACGGTATCTCACCTGCTCCGACACACCACCTGTTACGATCATGACCCCCGTCTTCTTCAACACCTTCAACTGCTCCTTCGACAAGCCCTGCTGTATGTCCCCAGTAGGGACACGCAAAACCATCTACACGATCGCGTTCAGCCAATGTCACAGATATCCCACGGCACCTATAGCTGCTGCCAGCCGACCTCGTTGCCCTGCTGCACAATTTCCTCGGTCGCGTCATCGAGCTCCTGCAGCACCGTCCGCCAAGCATGCTCGATGGCGTTCTTGTCAATGCACATCTGTTTCTTGAGATCTGCAAACCGAGCAGGCAGTGGTGGGCTCTCAGAGGTGAGGTTGTCGAAGAACTCCGCGACGGTGCCTTCCTTCTTCGTGGCGCGGCGAGCGTGCGTATGTTTCTGCACGACTTGAGCGAGTGAACGCGCGAGCATTGGCATGAGCAGGCTGCGAGCTGCCCCCATTGTACCAAGGTAGGGGGTCTGCGCGGAGAGTTTAGGGACCCGCAACATCGTGAAACAACTCGAGACGAAAGATAAGCGGCAGAGGACGAGGTCGTACAAACCGCCCATGCTACCCTCCTTTTATCCTCTTAGCTGCTTTCTACCGCCGACCAACGTTCGCGTACGATGTGAATCGCTGCTAACCCACCAAGAACACGACAGCTGATTCGACCATTCCCATCCCTGACGTCTCTCTGACCCACGAGTTGACCGCGTGCCACACAGTCCTGCATGATGCGTAGCCGTGGTAATTGAAGCTTCTGTATTTGAAAGTCAGAGCCATGTCAAACCTGTCATTGCGCAGTTTGATAGACCTCATGAGTATCTCAGAGGTCGCATGAGAGACGGACAGAGGCGCTTGGTAGAGGGTTAGACATTCACGGTCGCTCCGAGGTTGATCCGAAGTAAACTCGGGTGCCTTTAGCAGGCCTTGGGCGAAACACTGGCATTCAATCATCCAAGCAGGCAGACAAGACGAGCTGGTCATACGTATGCATCATCCATGACAGAGGCAGAGGTAGTGATCGAGAAAACTTACGAGAGCAGCTACCGCAATGTGCGGGACTACGGGTATCGTTCCTCCATGACTGTCAGTGCCAAAGCACAACAGTCCATCATCGGTCCTTCCTGCTCTCTTCCTGGCCGCGCACGATCTGACTCTCGAAATGGAGTAGACTTGACGCCTCCAGCCGACTGACGATGTCGCTCCCGAGCGCGGTCGCGGGCGTAAGCACGCCTCCGAGGCGCGCATGGGGCGGCAGGGATGCGTCGTCCAAAGCAAGTGCAAGCGCGCACTCGGATATCATACCTACACATCAACGTCAGCGACACCTACGAGAATCAGAAAGGGATGCCAAGACAATCAGACCTGCGGTGAGGAGGTAGCCAGGGTCGCCCTTTCCGTGGATGGTCGTCTTCGCCCAGGTGCCCGGTGCGCTCGCAGCCTCGGTGAAGTTGGTCACCGTCATGTACCCTGTCTTCAGTTGACTAGCGAAAGGTTAGAAAGGTATCGGTGCTCGACGGAGATCACACTCACTGCTCAGAAGGGCCCTCGCCCGACTTCGGGAGGAACAGTTTGACGAACCACCATATCTGCGCTCCCGGTCAACACAAGCCTTGCTTAGCTCTTATAAGATCGGTACTCACAGGGGGGACGTAGAACAACAACGCGAGCCACACGCCCAGCAGCGTGCTCGACACGGACGCCGCGAGCCGCGAGGTGCCGACGGCCATATACTCCGCATAGCGGAACTCCGGGCCATACGTCAGGGGACGGATCTGCGCCGCGGTCTCCTGCACTGGCGCGGATGTGAGCAAAGCGCCTGAGTAATTTGCGAGGAGCTCGTTGAGGCCGAACGTGCGCTGCACGATCGCGCGGTTCACGTTCGCCATGATCCAGAACGCGCCGTACGCCGGAGGAGAGGAGAACGGGACGCGGACGGCCTTCTGGAAGGCCGGGCTCGGGTATCCATGGACTGTATGCGCGTGAATAGGTTGAATGGGGGACGTATACGTGGGTGGGCGTCGTGAGGGAGACGTACCTGGGCTCAGCGCGTAGTCTTGACGGCTCTGGGCGAGGAGGATTTGCGGCACCTCTTCGATCTCTGTCGCTAGCGTCGCCAGCGAGCCGCCCGAAATCCCACTCTTGATATCGAAGAAGGTTTGCGAGAGGCCGAGTTGCGTCTGGGGGCCGATGGCATTCTTCAGAGTGCGATTGGAGAGGAAGACAGCCAAGTCACTCGGAAGGGAATCGAAACCGCAGGAAGGGACGATCACAGCTCCCGTCTTCGTTGCAATATGATCAAAGCTGCAAAACATGAGCCAACCCGCCCTTCGGTCTGCAGTAGAGCACTCACAGCTCGATAATCTTGCGCACGAACTGGGGCTCGCCGGTGAGATCCACGTACCGCCTACCCAGCAGCGCACATGCCCTTCCTCGCCATCAAGAGTCAACCTCTGCCTCGAGGCTGTAACAGCTGTACTCACCGGACGACGCTCGTCCCCCATAACCAGAATGGCCCTACGGTGTTGATCACAACCTTCGTGTCCCTCACCGCCGCCTCGACCGTCTCATACCGCGTGACATCAACCTCGACAAGCCGCACCGTTCCGTCGTTCTCAATCCCGAGCGACTTCAGTAGCTCCACGCCCTTGGTCTTCGAGCGTACCCCAATGGCAAACGTGAACGAATTGCGCTGCGGGTGACTCGCAAGGTAGCGGGTGATGAGGCGACCGGTGAAACCTGCAGCATGTCGGCATCAAGGGACGTTCACAAGCAAGGGTGAATTGCAATCGTCGGAAGCTAACCTGTCGCCCCGAGGACGAGGATATCAACCACCATTGATGATGATCCCGCGTGTATTATCGTCAAACCAAGTTGTAGGATAACAAGAACTCAAGCAGAGAACGTCGAAGAGGGCGAGGGTGGGAAATGGCACGAAACAAAGGCACAATGCGTATGCAGCCCACTGGCGCCGCGCATATAGGGAGCTGCGGCGATGTAACAGACGGCCTCATGGGCGTTGTGCCTCTCGCCGCCTCCGTCGGCCGACTCGAATATTCTTGTCTCGCAGCGTCATTGACAGTGGTGCAAGTGAAACGGGCGAGACACTGGGCCTTACAGAGGCACCACCCTGGACAAGTGCGCGAACGGAGCATTGGGAGGGAATGACGGCAAAAGTACATGCTGCACCGAGTTCTAGAAACACATCCGAGTCGCATATACAAACTGATGACCTATGTCTGAGCCACGAGGAGAATTCCGGGTCTCCGCGGATTGCAATCTACCATGGGGAATGCTAACAACAAGAGAGAAGTACCCCAAACCCAAGTAGAAGTAGAAGACCCCGGCCTCTTCTAGTGGTGGGCCAAAAACGACCGTCACAGATATCGGCGGCCGAAATGTGGTCATCATATCTAAGAGGAAGATGAATTGCGGAACGGTCTTAGCTCCTGTTATTGTAAGGGGGTCATGAGATCAACACAGAACATCGATGCAGGCTCACGAGTATACGAAATCCAGTCTAGAAGCCGTAGCATCCCATCCGACACAGGTCAGAATGCCCAGATGGCAGTCGATGAGGTCGATGTGACTACCGTTTGGTCGGTCCGGAAAGGCAGTTCTTTTACGGAGTCATTGCAGCTGGATTAATTGCAAACCGGGTGCAGAGTGTTAGGAGACCGATATCCCGAGCAAGTCGTGTAGGCGATGATACAAGAGTCGATACAACATAGCAATTTCACTACTAGGACATAAGCACAGTGTGCGACACTCAGATGGAAGCAACAGACACACCTTAATGAACTTCCTCATGAAATTTCTGTAGGAATGTCAGCATCAGGGCGACGAGGGAGCGAGGCAGTCACTCACTTGTGGAACTCTGTCCGCAACAAGTCGTTCACGAACTGCGGCTGATTTCCCTTGTCCCGCGTACTCATAGCCTGGTTCTTGAAGATAAGATCTGTGCAGAACGGTCCCTCAGCCTTCCGCCACTAGCTTGAGAGAACAGAGCCACATACCGTCGTCCCATCTCCTCTTCACAGCGAACGTCCCAGGCTTCGTCGTATTTACACCATTCGGAGTTTGGCCGAGTGCAGCAGCGAGGTTCAACAAAGGGTTTGCGGTTGCAATCTCGGCCTCTCGCGCGGCTTGGTCTGTCGCCGACTGCTCCCTCTCTTGCCTCTCCTTCTCCTCCGCACGTTCCCGCTTAATCTTCTCGAGTTCCCGCAAGAGCTCTGCAGTGTCGTCCTCTTCTTCATCGTCGTCGTCATCGTCATCGCTAACCCCGGAATCGCCTTCAGTACCTGCAAGAAGAGCTCACATGAGAACAAACCACGCACTCGTCATCCTCGTCCTCATCCGCTGCCTTCTCGCCCTTCTCCTCGTCCTCGTCATCGTCAGCATCCTTGTCCAACTCCAGTGCCTCCTGCAGCAACTTCCTCCTCTTGTTCGACTGCTCGTCCTGACCCTCCCTTGGCGCCGACTCGACCGCGAGCGGCGGCTTGCCCTCCGCCTTGCGCTTGCGGTCGCGCGCCTCCGCCTCCGCCGCCAGCAGCTCCGCCCTCAGGTCGCGCTTCGCCACCTCAGCTGTAGACGTCTGCCCAGGTTGCCTACACGACGCATAAGCTCCCTTTCAGCAATGCATGGTAGTATAGATGAGAAGAAGCAGGGGTTTGGACGGACCGGAACTTGAGCTTCGTATGCGCGGCCATGTCCCGCACGGAGAACTGGCGCGAGCCACCCTTGACGTCCTTCGCCTGTGCGGGGTCCCATGTAGGCCTGTGTGCTGTAGACATTGTGGCGTCCTAAGTTTCCAGAGGAGATATGGTAGGCAAGGAAACGACAAAGTTGGCTGCAGACGGGTTGAACTTGAAGTTCAGGATTGACTTGGCGCCTGAGCGCTCAGTGAGCACAATATCAAGCCGATGCTTGTGTGTATTTGTCTCCGGCTTTTGATCCCGTCGCGTGGTACCAGGGTTCGACTTCGTAGGTCCTTGCCAAGTTCCAACGCCACGATGGCCACGATGAGTACTGCCAATGTGGCAAGTCAAAACAGCCATCTGTTGTCTGCTGAGAAGGTATCTCTGTTGTATACTCCAGCTCTAGCAAGCGGCTGAAACGGATTCCGCAGCTTCCATCTTGGGCAGACATATCATCCTTGTCGGATGAAGAGCTGTTTGCCCTATACGATTCATGCGAGCAGAGATTTCCTCAGCTATCCAGTGTCAATTTCAAATCTGTCTGTCGGATAGCGTCTGATGCTGTGATGAAAGCTGGTGGAATTATGCAACACGTCGAACCAGTCACCATGAGCCTCGTTCGTGGGTCAACTACGATTCTCCTCCCCACTGTCCTGCGTTCTTTGAATGCGAATGGACGTCTCGGCTTTATCATGGATTATATCCCAGGTCAGACGGTTGCACAGTGCTGGAGCCGTCTAGGCTTGTGGCAGCGCTTCCGCCTCTGCTGGACGATCCGTGGCTACATCAGACAACTCCGGCGGGTCGTGATCCCCGGCATAACCCGCAGTGAACTGTTTCCAGGGCCCATAGGCGACGAGCCCCAGCTTTGTTACGGGCCTATGTTCTCTCACGACTATGTGAGTTTGTCTCTCGCCTGCCTTGCGTGTTCGTGGCTCACCACCGTGTCAATAGGGCGGAGGCCCGTTCGCCTCTTATGAAGAACTCACGACATGGTTTATGCACAAGTTGGACGTGAACCGAAACATCAGGAAGACTCCCACGGAAGACATCACATTCGACTCCTCGTTACCCCTCGTCCTTACCCATCTCGACATTTCTCCGCACAATGTCGTCGTCGACAATAACTCCCGTATCTGGTTGATCGATTGGGAATTTGCAGGATTCTATCCCCAGTGGTTTGAGTACGTTGCAATGCGGAGCACTTGGGAGATAGCTGGTAGATGGAAGCGCTGGATTATCGGTTTCATGGCTGGGTTCTACGAACGTCAAACCCGTTTCATCTCCGAGATCGGCTGGGCTATTGGTACAGGACATTTCTTGTGATACCCATATAACTATCGCGACACTACTTCAACTAGCAATTGATATCTACAGATCGGAGAAACGCAGTGTTCTAACCGATTCCTGCAGGATGATATTCGGGGCACAGATGAGGACAGGCGACTGGGAATTCGTGATGAGAGAACTCACAGATAGAACTCACTAATAAAATTCTCCTCGCCGGAGGGGAAGAGGGATCTTGCCGGGTTGCAGTCTCGCCTGCTCTGCGTGGAAATCTTGCAGCTTCGCCACCGCTCCGTCCTCGACAAGACGAGCATTCTGCAGCTGCTGGAGTACATTCCAAATCCAAAACAAACACCCCGAACCAGAGGCGTCGAACTTGTAGCGATCCATGCGGTTGGAGACGATCAGGTCGATAACTTGGCGAACCGTGAGTCCGTCCACTGAAGCTATGGGAAGCTCGATCTTGATGAGTGCGTTTGAATGCGCGTTGTCCTTGCTCGCGATGATCAGGTTGCCAAAGGGAGGGTTTGTCGGTACCATGTCCAAGAGAACGGCACGGCTCGTAGAAACTCTGTCAGGTCCGAGCACCAAGTATAGCCGCCAGTGAAAGATGCCGACTCCTTCGGAGCCCGCAGGAGCGTAGAGCGACGCGGTCACTGTGATTTGGGTGACGCGACGATCTTTGTCGACGGGGCGGAGTGCTTTGTCGTAAATTGTAGCTGCCATGGTTCTGCATAAGAAACCGGCATCAGCAACTTGAAACGTAGAAGGGATGCAGTCAACAATGGGAGAGGTACGTACGAGGTGTCTTGGCGTGGTTCATCGACGTGTTGACTGAGGTGAGTTCTTAGCATTATATACTTTCGAGCGATTCAGAAACTCAGAGGGACCCATATCGATCGATACATGAAGTCATTCTGTTTCCAGGGATCGTCGTGCGCCATCTTGGCGCGTCCAGTCTAGAAGCTATGAGCGGTCAGTATAACGGACATCTAGCGTTATTGTTGAGGACCCAAATCCCTATGAATAGGAAACAGCTGCCCGGATGAAGGGGTAGTCGTGGACTTGGGAGCCGGAATAACATACAGCCGAAGAAACCACAGTCGAGGGCCCACATACCTCAGAGAAGAGTGCCGTTGCCATATTCCCTGGAACCACTATCGCCATCATGCAACGATGTAGCTGGGTTGCAATTACAGCGGTTCGAGTATCGACAGGCCCTCTCGAAAGACATGCTCAGTTTGATTGGAACGAACGATATGCGAGCCCAACCAGGTACTCAGACGCTCTGTGGCCTTACCGAGGGCGCCGCCCAGCGGCAGGGCCCGGAAGTTGGGTGGCGGATCGGACTCACATCTTGGTCTGCGCTTTTACCGACCTGAGCGTGTTTTGTTGCGAGAGGCCTTATCGATATGCAGGCTGCTGTGCCTCGACGGTGATGCTGCCAAGTGGTTCAGAAATCAGAAGGGAAGGGTGGTTTACTCACGGTGCGCCCACTGCACCATGCGCCAGATCGCAATGGTAGGCCGCCCGGATAATCTGCACTGCACCGCAGCTCCTTGTGTGGCAAGCTACTCAATTGTTTACGGTCAGTCCACCCCGCCGAAGCCTCGTCCATCTACTTAGCCGAGTGATCATCCTATTGACGTCTCCTAGCGTCAGGCCCTGGTCCAGCTTTGAACCAGTCCCCGGGACACTATGGGTCCCTGGCACACTCGCACACTTCCGGTCGTGATCGTTCCATTGCAGCTCTTCTGTGCATGGGAACATATTCATGCCCTGTGATAGCACGTTGCTCGGATATTGTGGCTGTTTCCGCCCTGCACTAGGAAGGCTTTCACTGTGACCACATGTGCCTCATCAATATGAGTCAACATTGCAGCAAAATCTGCTCTAGGGCGATAGATTGAAAATTTGCAGGATTCTATTCCCAGTGGTGTGAGTACGTTGCAATGCGGAGCACTTGGGAGATAGCTGGCACATGGAAGCGCTAGAAAATCGGTTTTATGGCTGTCTCCTGCCAACGTCAGACTCATATCATCTCCAAATTTGGCTGGGCCAACGGTACGAGAGATCTCATGTGAAACCCATGTACTATCAGGTCACTACTGCAATTAACAGTCGAAAGGGCGAATTGTAGGAACGCGGTATGCGGACAGGTTTCCTGCAGGATGATATTCGAGGCACGGATGAGAACACGCGAATGGGAACTCGTTATGAATAGAGCTTGTTGGTAGAACTCACTAATAGAATTCCCCTTGCCGTATGGGTACAGGGTGCCTGCTGGGCTCCAATCTCGTCCGCTCTGCATGGAAAGCTTGGAGCTTTGCCACCGCTCCATCCTCGACAAGACGAGCATTCTGCAGCTGCTGGAGTACATTCCAAAGCCAAAACAGACATCCCGAACCAGAGGCGTCGAACTTGTAGCGATCCATGCGGTTGGAGACGATCAGGTCGATAACTTGGCGAACCGTGAGCCCGTCCACCGGAGCTACAGGAAGCTCGATCTTGACGAGTCCATCTGAATCCACGTTGTCCTCACTCGCGATGATTAGGGTTCCAAAGGGCGGGTTTGCTGGTACCATGTCTAAGAGAACGGAACGGCTGGCAGAACCGTCACCGTCAGGTCCGAGCAGCAAGTATATCCGCCAGTGAAAGACGCCGACTCCTTCGGAGCCCATAGGAGCGTAGACCGAGTCACATGCGGTCACTGCGATCTGGGTGACGCGACGATTCTTGTCGACGGGGCGGAGTGCTTTATCGTAAATAGTGGCTGTCATGATCCTGCACAAGAACTTCGACCATATCAATAAATGGAGCAGAGACGCAGCTGACAGTGGGAGAGGTACCGTGTGAGGTGATTTGCTGATGTGTTCACTAAGGTCATGATCAGTTCTTAGCTCTATAAAGATCCTCCAAAAAACTAGGACCTCAGAGACCCATATCATCATGTCGCTCGGTCCATGATCTCATGCTGTAATATCCAGAGATAATCATGCGCCAAAATGGCGCGCGTCTGCCCTACATAACTGAAGCAGATATAAAATCCCAGAAAAATGCTGTTACAGGCATAAATATATATAAGCATAAATTACTACATTTGACTGGGCGGGCGCCGGGGCCCGGAATGTGCGCCGCTCTTGCCATTCCTGACTAGCAGACCAAGGAGTCGCCTGTAGCAAGAGTCGTGTCAGTGTAAGTGTTGTGTGCATTGGAATCGCCAAGCTGTGTCCATGTTGTTCAATAGGACATATTCTGCCGCAGCTAGGAGTCGACCCCGTATAATGCCAACATGCGACACGTGGGCGGTATTATGTAGTGATGATTAAGATTCTTTTTCCCTCCTAACTTTCGACAAGTAGCTCAGGATCCAGTTCGGAACTCAGCATGTTCATTCATGGTCGGGTATGTCTTTGACAAGTGGGCCCGCATTCCCATGATTTTGCGACATGTGAGCAGCGTCACAATGCTCTTGACAAGTTCTCGATGTTCGAGAAGTGGACGCTCGATATCTCAGCTACATTACCGTCACCAAGTCGCCCGTCCACTGCTAGTCCTCACAACTGATTGGTCTGTTATACGGGCCAGGGTAGGCAATGTGCATGGATCACGTCCAATCAGCCTCCACTGGTTGATACTGGGCGAAGACCCCGGTAGGTTGTCAATTGTCATATCTCTGCTCCTGGGCGTCTCACTGTTTGTCGCGCATAGTCCAACTTGTTAGTGTCCTCCAGACGTACTTCACTTGTCGCCTACATAGGCAATGATTACACACTATATCTGCCATAAAGGACAACACTGCTGCGATCGGTCTCCCGAATGTCTTCCGCTTCGACCGCTTGCCAAGTCGGACCGCGGACAAGGAGCGACATATCCGCCAAATGCGCGCTAGCCGACTTCCTTCCGAAGCTATCTGCCGCTAGCACGCGCCGAGATGGCGACTCGTCAGTTCTATATGCCATGTTGACCGTACGTAACTACCTTGTACCTTGGAGCTTCACCTCGGACGGAAGACAGTCTATCACAAGATGTCCAAGAAGCTAGGGAGGCCACTCCTCGTCATGACGACCGGAAGCCATCATTGGTATATACATGCATAGGTTTCCGCGCCTCCACTGGGTTCATTCGTCTTTTCGCATCTATCATGATCTGAACGTAAGCAAACGTGATATGCCCGGTTGGTACGTTCTTTCACTCCTTTGTATCAGAAGGGCTGCTTTGTTGAACATGCATACTGGCGATCATTCAGGTACAAGGGACCAGTGGCTCATACAAGGGTTTCAAGCAACGCGTATGTCCAACGGGGTGATTTGCCTACACGGTTGTGCAATGCCATCCTGTCGAACGTCCATCGCCCGACGCCATTCAATACGGTCACTTGATTGTGAGTGATGTGATCATACTTATCTGATATCCCCATGAGCCATGAGACACATACCTTCTCTTGGTCCGAGCTAGAACTTGGGTGACCCCTTTTCCTTGCTTCTTCAAATCTGCAAGACAAGACAAAAGTAACCCGCGAGCCTTCTTCGCAGCCGAATGCACATGGTCTCTTGGTGGTTGCTCTTCTCGTGATCACAGTGTTCTATTGACTTCCATCCGCAGCCCAAGGGCAGCGCACGCTAACGGAAAGGTGTGTGCCTCGGTGAAAGTACCGCCCACGCCCGGTGTTGCCACTATCTCGATTTCATTAAGTGCTGGTCAACCCTGGGCTTCATGCTATGCACATCGGCGGCCGGAGACGCTCCTCTTGGTCTAGCACAGGCTAGTGGCGTGGGTGGCGTTGTATAAGCCGGGCTCTCCGTGAATCAATATCTTCGCAATCACATCCTGTTGCGCGCGGAGATAGCGCTGCGCAACAGCTAGCGACATTCGTACAGTGACCGCCTGCCCCTCACGACCATCGCACCAGTCCAGCAAAGGGTTCCTTTCCGCTTCTCCCTTTGTTTGGAATCACTCACGTGCTGCCTAAACATATCATCCAACAGATCTCTGCTGGACGCTTCGTATTCTGACATAGCCCACAAAGGCCACGTTAGCGCACGCGGCGTCTGGACTCCTGACCCACAAATAGCTTAAATCGAGGCTCCCGAGTAGCGATGGCTCGTCTCTTCCACGGCGCTCCTGTCCCAGGGGAACTTGACGCTTCCTGTCATTGACCGTTCTTCGCGTTTACTGGTCACCCATCCGGTGCTCGTACTGCCTCCCGGTCTAATGCGCACTACCACTGGGTTCTCGGTAGACTACTCGCAAAGCATGGGGCTTGGCATCTGACTTAATATGGTCCCATGGACTCGCTTGACTTTCATTGGCTGCCCCTACTTGGCCAGCGGTTGATGCCTCCCTGCATGTAGAATAAATGTCCAAGGATGCTGATCAAGCTCCACGTCCTGGCGTTGCGCCATTCAGGCTTCTGTTCCGTCTTCCAGTCCGCGGCTTCCGATTACCACCTGTACGTCGCGTATTCCCATCGATCGGCTGATAACAACTGAACTGTGGGAAGCTAGCGCTTGTCCTTTCTTCGAGCCGAGGCATGGACTGTCGTCGGCCGTTCTGAGCATGCCTCGGAGTCGGCGGGAAGGCGCGAAGACGCGATTCAATGTCCGGTCTTTTTACTGTTGCTGTACACGGTCTACGGCCGTCCCAGGGCATGTCGAAAGGGGGACTACAAAGTCGCTGTGTTGTGAGCGTAGTCGCGAGGCGGAAGAAGCAGCCAGCGTCAACAATGCAGTACGTTCTAGGGGGCACTCTTCGCTTGCGATTTTCGTACTGAACGTCAGTCTTGGCGACTGTTGTGTACAGCCCGGGTGCAGAAGGAGCACCTTTCACAGCACCACGTCTTGCAGGACGTTCCCTGTTCATGGAGCTCGGTCACCTTGACGTTCTCCTTCCCTTGTCTTTGTAGTGACGATCTAGTATGGTGCGGGCCCGAACACCGCCCAATACCCGACGAGGCTCCGGACTGGCTCCTTCGGCAGGTGCACCGGAACTATACCTGGCGTCTGGCGTGGGCACGCTACAGCGCATGACTCGCGAGAGGCTCAGCCTCCGCACTGCAGAATGTCGTGCGTGGCGGGCTGGCACGGCGCGGATGGGCACGCTGCTAACGTATGGCTCTGCTTCGTGCGCTTCTCATCGCTCTCCTCTTGCACATCGTTGCATTGCGCAGTTTTGGTCCGAATTCCTATGTTTATCCAGATTCTCCCGAGATTGCCTTTCCTACGTGCAATCCTCACCGTTGCGGCATGTATGCACGATAACAAGGAGTCTCCAATCGAGCCGTCTCGTCACACTCGCCGCGCCTGTTTCCCGTTGCGCGCTGTGGGAAGACAGCGGGGCTCTGTAAGCTGTGTCTACGTATGACCGCTTCCACGTGCGCCAGACTCGCCTCCAGGTCCATCCATGTCTTGTCTAGCACGGCGAAACGTGCTTGCCTGACTGGCTGCGTCACCGATGGCACATCAACCTAAGGTTGATGCCGGCGGCGATTGCTCGAGTATGCCTGCCGTCGAGCGAATAGGCCATCGCGCGATCTGTGCGAGGGCAAGATTCCGAGCACAGCGTCGATCCGAGAGCGCGGGTTCTGTGACACGGCTGGAGGGACCTGGGGGCATTCGTACCCGAGCACAAGTGCCTAACGAGATTCCGGCCGATTTCATCTCTGACCAAACGTTTGGGTTCCACGAGACTGCCAGATTCGGCCCATTCGAATTCCCGCCGACCGCGGGGTCTGCCGCGAACCTCTTTGATGCTAACCGCCACCGTCTCTCCTCCTGGCACAGCCTAGCTTCCGTTATTTTCTTAATGTGTTGGCCTAATTTATCTCTTTTAACTGGGACTTGGGCTCTGGGAACTGCTTACTCTAGAACCTTAGGCGAAAACATATAAAGCTGGGGTCTCTCTGCGGGCAACTTGAACTTGCGCAACACTCGTCGACATCGGCGTACAATATCTCTTAGGCGGCAACACTCGGCAGCTATACTCAGACATCACCGGTACTCATGGGCAATTCCCACTCTTCGCGTAAACCCTCTCCTGCCGGTCTGGACCTGCACCATGCGCACGCCACGCCGGTCCTGGGTCGCAAGCGCTCATCTGCGTTCTCTGCTCTCACCCTCGGCTGCGCCTCCGGACACCCGTATGCTGCATCTCTGCCCAGCTATCACCCGCATGAACTTTCTTTCCGGGAGGACTCCTCCAGCTCCTCCGTAAGCGACCGCGACGAGAAGCGAAGCTTTGACCCCCCGCCGGTTTACGCTCTGTCAACAACCCCCGACATCCCGGACGACGCCGCTCTGCTGGCCTACAAAGCCTTCCTCAAGGAGTACCCTCAGTACCAACTGACATGGATCCTCGACGCACTCAGGCGCACCGACTTTGCCAGACTTGACCGCAATGGTGAAACATACGTCGACTACATGGGCGGTTCGCTCTATCCAGAAAGCCTCATCCAGGTACACGCCCACTTCCTCCAGCGGAGCATCCTTGGCAATACGCACTCTGTCAGCAACTCGTGAGTAGCGCGTTTCGTTCGTCCACCTCGAGATGTTCCTATAGGCGCCAACGTCTGTGACGCTCGAGTCCCTTTATTGATAATCCCGGTCCGCCCGGATCTGGGACGGCTCGGCACCGAGTCCCGCACTCGTCCTTCTGTGCACTGCTTCTCTTCCTTCTATTACGAGCATGCATGCTCACGAATTCTGGCACTGACGGTCGTACCATATCTGTTCAGGTCACGACTGTCTGCATCGCGCGCTGACGAGGCACGGCGAGCCGTTCTCGAGTTCTTCCGCGCGCCGCCAGGATACACAGTCATATTCACGGCCAACGCGAGCGGCGCACTCAAGCTGGTGGGAGAATCCTTCCCCTTCACTAGCGGGAGCACGTACGTATTGGGTGCGGACTCGCACAACAGCGTCCACGGGATCCGCCAGTTTGCCCAGGCCCGCGGCGCACAGGTGTGCTACCTCGAGTCCACGGACGTTGGCGGAGTAGACGCCGCAGCGACCAAGGTAACGTACACGATCCCGCGAGTCCGCCGTGCGCACCAGCTGACCGGTATCCTGTCATCTCGCTTTGGGGTGCTCTTGTATCTCAGGCCGTCCTCGCACACCATCGACCACGCGGCGGCCGCGCTCCCCCCAGTCTCTTTGCGCTCACGGGCCAATCGAATATCTCGAACTCGAAGAACCCCCTTTCCCTCATTGAGTTCGCCGCGTCACAGGGCTACTCCACCCTGCTCGATGCTGCCGCGCTAGCCCCGACGTCTGTGATCTCGCTCGCCGACACGCCCGTGGACGCGATGGCAATCAGCTTCTACAAGATGTTCGGCTTCCCGACGGGTGTCGGCGCGCTTGTCGCGAAAGAGTCCTTCCTGGCACAGTTGGAGCGTCCATGGTTCGCGGGCGGGACCGTCGACGTCGTCCAGGCGCCTGGCAAGATTGTGACGATGGCAGCCGAAATGCACGAGCGTTTCGAGGTGCGTGATCTCAGTCTGCTGTGTTCCTAGACTGTTTCAGATCATGGCCAAAACATGAGTCACCGTGGCTGCTGAAGGTACATTTTGCTGATGCTGGGCTTGCCTCTCTAGGATGGTACAATCAACTACCTGAGCCTGCCTGCGATCACCGACGGCCTGCGATTCCTTTCGGCGTATCTGCCCTTCCTGCCCCTCCGCCTCTCTTCACTCACGCGCCACCTCATTACGTCACTCTCTCAATTGCGACACGACACGACGAACACACCTGTCGTTCAGATTCTGTCCCGCCGGCCGAGCAAGGACGTCAAGAACGTCGGCGAGCAATCAGATACGGGCTCCGTCCTCGCCCTCCTCTTCCTCTTCGTGAGTACCGTCCTAACTGCGACGTGTCCCCCCTCGCGCTCCAGAGCTCGTCATGCTGACGACGTACCTTGCATGCGTATTCATTCCATTTCGTGAACCTTCCTGTCTTCCTCCGCAGCCATCGGGCCAGATGATCCCAAACTCCTTTATCGAGTATGCGGCGTCGCGTCAAAACATTTCCCTCCGCACAGGATGCATGTGCAACCCCGGTGGCGCAGCTGCACTTCTAGGCCTGCGTCAGGCCATGACGGATCTCCCCTGCGACGCCACACTGCGAGCGTTCGAGCAGCGGATGGGCCGCGAGCTCGGCGTTGTGCGGATATCTCTCGGCCTCGCGAGCGACTTCCGGGACGTGTGGCGCGTCATTCAGTTCGCGAAGGTCATGGCGTCCGATAGTGCGCGAAGCGCGTTGTGGGACGAGTGGCTCGGGGAAAAGACCGGCATCGCCCTATGACGGACGCGGTATGGACTCGTTCACTAGCTTCAAAAAAGGACGCTCGTAGCGGACTGGTAAGCAAGCATATGTTTGTTCCGCATGGAAGTATGTATCATTACGTCGCCCACCGAGACCATCGGTCTGTATCATCTAACCCTGTATGTAGATTGCATGTACTGTTGTTGTAGTATGCCATTCTTTGCATGTTCTTCATCAGAAGGCTTTGCCACTAGAACCGGGGGCATTGACCCTGTGGACACTGGCTCTAAGCCGCGCTCGATCTCTTCGCCGTGCAGACCTCATAAGTATCGACTGTTGCTTGTATTCGCGGACTCAATAGTTACATAGCGCGGGCACTATGCTGTCCCCGTTCTACGGTCTTCGAAGCGGCATTCGTTCGACCGATCTCTTGCGATCCAACAAACTCTGTTCTATGCTTCCGACTAGACCCCAGTAGCTATCAGTCTGAGTAAAATCTGGCAGTTCGAGGCAATGATGCTCGGGAGTTGTAGAATGGCTCTATAGCTGCATGAGCCGGATCGTCACTAGTTAGTGTGTCATCCCGCGTTAACGTCGCCGTCGAGTAGCCACGTGTTTGGTCCCGAAAGGTGGCTTGATCGGTGAGGCGAGGGTTCGTCGATCGTTCCGAATGCTTGAGCTCGAGATGTCTTCGAGGGTGTGGTTACGGTTAATCTTCGCCAACCGAGCTCGTCGGATGCGAAGTCATGCAACTCCGAGACGAACGTCCAGAGAGACGCGTCTCATGACGAAACCCGTTTCCGGCGTCCGCTACCAGCAGTACCTATCATGCCACAGACGCCTACATCCCGAGCCCGTGGGTCCGAACGATATGTGATGATGTGGCACGCCCGTACGCCAGGGACGGGGTTAGCTATTGCTTGCTGTGGATGCGGATGCCGATCAACGCTGGGAGCCTGAGGCGGGATAAGCCGCTGAGTTGGCAGATAAGGTTTATGGCGCTTGCTGCTCGTTTCAATTCTTCACGTCGATGATTGCATGCTGGGAGGGCCGAGACCATAGCCAACTAAGCGCGTGGCAGAAGCTCCGTGTTGACCATCCTACCGGGAGGTGCTGTTCTTGTACTCGGAATAGAGCACCAGAGGTGGGTTCTGAGCCGATGCGACCCGTCAAAGCAATATGATCATGATGAGAGTGTTCTAGTGACCTATGAAAATTGTCCACAGCGGGAGCACGACGGCGAAGATCATGCAGCCGCCGCTCTCGACTCCGAGCGTGAGGCCCAGAAGAAGTAAGCGCGACATAGATATGGAGATTGTGCTGCCACAATGTCTCCTCCGGGAGGCAGCACAATGTCTCCTCCGGGAAATGGATGACCCTGTATTGATACGGCAAGTGAACGGATTCCTGCTACACCCACCCTTCGGTTCGTCAATTTAGGGCGACAGTGGCGTACACCTGATCCGAGTTGTCCGATTGGTTTCAAAAATCCGGAGCCTCACGCCAGTCGAAGTCCGCAGAGAGTCTGTATAGTCGCGTGAGGACGCCAAGGAACGACGACATGCCGCCTCTGACGAGCCGGCGCACAGGAACACATACCCCTGGCAGGGCCAGCAGAAGAGACCAACCGGGCTGAACAAAGCCACGGAACGAAGCCCTGGCGCGGCGAATAGATGACTCAATGGAGGAAATCTTTCACATTTTGTGCGGTAGGAGAAGAGAGGCCGCGTGGGGATGGAGAGTGGTCGTCAGAATGGTCTGATTCTTTGGAGCCCCTTCACGTCAGTTGCAAGACTGACAGGAGGCGTCGTGTGTCGGAGAGAACCAGAAGTGAGCTAACATAGAAGGTGAGAATCGACATCTATGCTGGCGATTTACCATACGCTCACGTACCTCAGCTGAAAGGACACGACCTCCAAGGTCTCTGTCGCAACGTCAAATTCACGAGTGGAAGTTCTCCCGTCCAGCTAACTTTGACAACCTCTCAATGCGCAGTCGAGCAAATTGTAGAATAAATAGACCAGCTCGGTAATCCGACTACCCAATAGCAAAACACGCATCAAGAAGGACCTACTCTTCGTCATCATCTTCGTCATCATCATCGTCCTCGTCCTCCGAGACGTCCATATTCGCCTGACGCATCCGTTCCTTGTCTCTTCGCCGCTTGCTGTTGAGTTCGTCCAAGAGAACAAGCAAGTCTTCCTGCTCCTTCTCGACCTCCCGCTTCTTCTGGTCGCTGCTCTGAAGCTGTTCCGTGAGTGAAGCGACTCGAGCTCGTAACGCCTCGGTCTGCTCGGTAGTGTGACAAGTTGCATGATCAGTCCTCACGCTTTGAGCGGTGGTTAGATGGGATGGAAGCGCACCTCGCTCGAAGCGTTCGTGAGCGCCTTCAATTGTGTCTGTAGCTTCTCAATCTCAGCCGCCTGGCCACGGATGACGTCCCGCAACGATGCGATGAGTATCGCGCTCTCCTGGCCCGCAGCGGACGAAAGCGAGTTCGGATCCACTGTGATGCCCTTCTGGATGGTATCTGTATCCGCCCGCACCCTTAGCTCCCAAAATGGTGAGTCCCTCACACTACTGAACCGACTCACAATAGTTCGACTTCCAAAAGTCCACGAAAGCCCAGTCGAACCAGATCTCGCCTTCCTCCACTTCAGCTTTCGTCTGCCCAGCAGCAGGAGGGCCTTGGTGCGGATGATGCGGGGGCACGTGGGTGCTCGGGGACGCGGCGACAAAGTTGTCCGGTCCGACCGCTCTGAAGCGTTCGTCGTCTCTGAGATGGACAATACGTCCTGAGAGCACGTCAATGCCAAGGCGGGTCAGGATCGGGTGGATCGTCGAGCTGCGCGGACATAAGCATGGTGCGTAACTAAATCACAAGGGGTAGGGAGACGCACCGCGTCACTTCGCCTGGCTCGCGATTGAACTCGTAAATGACCCCTAGAAGGAAAGCGCAGAGTCCGGGTATCATTGCGTCCTCCTCCGCGGTCTGGTTGATGGGTTCGACCAGCTACGGTTGATCTCTAATGTTAACATTATCCTGCAAGCTCCAGGCAGGAGCAAGAGACGTACCACGCCAAGTGCACCGGCCTCTAAGAACTCGCGAACAGCAGCCGGGTCCTCCCACAGCCACTGAATCAGCAAGCAGAGGTACCCAACGCACAGCCGATCCCACTCTCGCGCCTCCTTATCAGGCAAGTCTGTTCGCGCTCGTGTGAGGAACGCCAGCGACAGATGCTCGCTAAGAATTTGCAGCAATGTCTGTGGCTCGTCGGCCTCGGCCTCGTCGTCGGCAGGCGGCGGAGCATCACCGTCGGCAGGGACGAAGAACGCTCCGCCGCCGCCTTGGGCGCTAGCCTGAGGAACTATGGAGCGCGCGGTGAGCTTAGCGCAGGGAGACGCGCGGAGGAGGTGCGCGAAGAGGAGGGTGGCGAAATGTGTCGAGGTGACGGAGGGAATGTTGAGCGGCGATACGGGGACGGTCGTGAGGGCGTACAGGAGGGGAGTGACCGGTGCTTGGGAGCCTACAGGAATAGGTGTCAGCACGATTGACTGTGTGCCATGAACATGAAACAGACCTGGTTGGGAAACCATTGCCTGAACGATGGCTTCGGATATCTCCTCTTTCTGCACGAAGTTCTGGCGACGGGTGAGGTAAGACGGTGCTTCACAAGGAAAGCCTCCGGACGGACCTGGAAGATGCCTAACGCAGCGCCACGGAGCTCCATACCATCCTTCGTTCGCCTCTCACCGTCAATGATATTGTTGTACTCTCCGTGAAGGATGAGCTCCACGAGGGCATCTAGTGCCGAAGCAGGTTCTAAACGGTCCCACTCCTCGCCGTTTGTGTCCGGTACGGGCACGTATGGCGTCACAACCATCTCCGCCAGCGGAAGTGCCGAGACGTTAGCGGGGACCAGGCGAAGAGCCTATGAGACATACGTCAGGACGGGATGGCAATCACAAGCGTAGCGGGCTACGAACCTGCGTTTTGATATCCGTGGGTGCGTTCGATGCAAGACCGAACTCCGTCAGGCATCGAGTGCAGGCAATGGACAGCCCGTCCGGAGGCTGTAGTGAAGGAAGTTAGAAGCGATGACGAGGAGGTGACATGCGATACCCACACCCGCTTGTCGTCCCAACAGCCCGATTAGCCCAACAACGAGCGACACGTTCGCACGCTTCTGAGGCACATCCCATAGTTGAAGGGCGAACTGCTGTGGAGCGGGCGTGTTGAACGGGAGGTTCGGCGGGAAGCCGACGAGTGACAGCAGCACTGGAGGGAGAGAAGAGCCACGGAAATAACTCTGTGACGAGGTGATGGTTACCGAGCAAGTTACCACGCGACGCCGCGCCGCGATGCGGGAGTGGAAAGCGAAAGCTCGTTAGGGCGGGCGAAAGCAGGACAGGACGGCAATGATTCGTACTTGGTTCGATTGGTTGAAACGAAGTAGGCCGTCTATACAAGTCAGCGCGTCTTGCACTACAACACCTCCCTCCAGTCCTTGCTCTCCTACGATGATGTTGAAGAGCTTCTCGAATGCGCCCTCGAACGCCATGATTTTCTGGATCTCGGGGCTTTGGGATATGAGAGATTGGATGGTGAAGATTGCCTCTAAGGGGGATATCAACGCATGGTTCGGCGTGTACACAACGGGCTCTGTGGGGTCTCAGACTACATGACTGGGCTCCGTTTCTAACTGATGCGAGCGGAAGTCTTGCCAAGAGGCCAATCGTTTGACGACTGTCGCACACCGAAGGCTGCCTCAAATGATTCCTGAAGAATTATGCACGAACTCAGAAGCGGCATATGACAACACCGGAATGTGATATACTCGTGAATATTTAATGCGTTGTCAGATAACGATATAGCGGCATCATCCAAAGTTCGCATCCGCCTATTCTTGAATGATTTCTTATAACATACGCTACACTCATGAGTGAAGATTCCGCTTCTGATCCCGCGCATGACTCCTGCGACTCTGCCCTCGGTGGCAAGACTGTTTTGGACGAAAGAGCATATTGGCCAGAGCCTGCGGCAAAAACAGTGTGGGCAGAGCAATGTAAGGATAGTCCATCAGAGCAAAAGCTAAGGGATGAAACTAGGACGATGACGAGGGGCTGTATCCCCTCGTACTCGCGCTGCAGTGGACACCCTCGCCTTGACCCAAGATGTATGCGCCACACGCTGCAATTTTGCCCAAGATGTCCTTTGTTTCGAGCAACGCGAGACGTTTCCAAACATAGTTGCCCAGGCCGTAACAAACATGCTCTAATGCCCTGCGTCTCACGAGGAAGAGTGCCGAGCTCTGCCTGTTGTGATATATGCATACATACGCACCATTCCGGATAATTTCCCTCTTGTCTTCCAGCAATGCGATCAGGCTGGTGACCCCCACAGGCGCCTTCAGAAAGTAGTTTTGGACGACTTGTCTTCGGTTCTGCAATAGTACTGAGAGGAACTGGAGTGCCGAATACCGCAGGTAGAACGAATGGTCGGCCATGAGAGCAAAAAGTTTATGAGCGATCTTGTCGTCAGCGAGGACGACATCCGTATGCTTGTATCCAAGTTCGCGGGCTGCGGCGGGAGCGTTCTCGTCCACCTCGCAGAGCACGATCAGGGTCTCGAGGACGGCCTTGCCGATGTCGGCGTCCACTTCGGCGTCGTTCTGCAGGACATCAAGAAGACCAGGAAGAGTGAGTCGTCCGACCTCAGCCTTGCAATCTCGAGAGAGTCCTTTGAGGGCGAGTACGGCAGCGCGGCGGTCAGCTAGCAGGGTAGATGGAGAGAGACGATCGGCGAGACGGGCGATGGTATCCGAGGCAGATTGCGGTTGACCTGTGGGACCGCGAAGAGCGATGTTAATCTGAGAGAGAAACTCCATGAGCCGTCCTCGCCGTCGTGGACGTTGATGAACGTTGTGCGCTCATCACCACGCGCGACTACCCTCTTCTCATCATCCTTTTGCCGCACAACCTCGAGAATTTTGAAAGCATATACTTCGTTCTCCGTCGCCACTCCTCGTTGCTGCTGTGGCCACCGAACTGGGTCCCATTCTCTCGACGAGGTGTAGGGAGCGCGCTGTGCGCAGATCTTGTATCCCCGTCTCCGATGCCGATGTCTTCCGCCAGGTCGTGACCAACTTCGTGATGTCTACTATGCACACGTCGGCAACACCTCTGCAAGTCATCCCCAGGGAATGGAGAGAAGATGCTTCCAAGCCGCCGAGGAAAGGACTTGCGCCAGGGCTGAAGAAGATTCCGCCATATTGGTACCCATACACGACGATGGCGAAGGGGCGTTGGCTGGGTCGCGAGATTCTAGAGGTGGTCTCCACAGAGTTCAGAGACCGGTCGATGGAGTTCTACGTACGTCCTCACTCGTCCTATTGCCTTTCAGGTCATCTCTCAATATGGGTGGTCAAAGTTAACGATTTAGCGAGGTAGTCAAAGATGACGGTTCCGTGTCTGCCTGATCCTGGGCTGATTCGACCTGAACACGGGTTTCTGCGCCCGGTCGCCGTTGCCGTGATTTTAAAGCAGGTTTCCTTGGCTGGAAGTCCGCTGAGCCCGCCTCACCCTCAAGCAGGGAAATGGTCCCGCCGTTCTGACAATCTAGATGTCACTGAACAGTAATGCACAGGGCCTCTCTACGACCTCGTTGCAGATTTTGGAGATCTCGGTAGGATGGCCTTAACACAGTGAATGAGGGTTGTGCACCAGGCGACCACGACCGCGTCATATGCGAGTTTGTTTTCTATTCGGGCTGCTTTGCCTGCCCTCGCAGTCGCGGTCAAACCGCCCGGGCGCAGAAACATACGCTCCCACCAGCTGGGACCACTCCGGGTTTGCAACCTTTAGCCTGCCATCGATCCTACCATTGGTTAGTCTGGGTCTTGCAAGCAGGTGTGGTCTCGAATCGCCTCTCGAATTGCTCCGTCGAATACTCTACCGAGACGCTATCTCTGACTACCCTTTATCAGGGATTATCTGAGGGAAGCGAGCGTGGAATCGACTCGTGTGGGGTTGGTCGAGTGCTGCGAGATGCGGCAGAGACTCGCCCATTAGAACCGACTTGGCATCGCCCGCGTAATCCAGGGCAGAACCGTCATCTTTGACCACCCCAGACGCTGCATGTGTGGCTCATGGGCTCGATAGACAGTCATGCAAAACATGACCATCGACACGGACCGTGGTCGTCTGTATCTGTATGTCCTGAGCGCACTCATGACGTGCGCCGTCCGCCCATGGTGCACTAAGAGGCCACACCGAATACCCGCTCAGCACTCGCGATTTACTATTTGATGTTCCAGAGGTACGCACTCGAGTCCGGAGTAACCACGATCAACGGAAAGGTTGCAAAACCGGACACCATTATCAAGAATGGCGATCGCATCGAGTATGTTCCTACCCCACCTTATGCACGCCCCCGATCTCAATGTCCTGTGTCGCAGGAACGTTTCTCATCGGCACGAACCCCCCGTGACATCCACGCCTGTGCGAATAGTGCTGCACGACAAGGAGCGGCAGTTCATCGTCATCGACAAGCCTGGCTCCATCGTTCGTATAACTTCAATATGTGCATGTGTGCGTTGGTCTAACAGCGATGCTCCCAGCCCGTGCATGCTGCAGGACGATACTTTCGCAATAGTTTGGTGGAAATCTTGAAGAATGATTTCGGGTTTGAGAAAGTCTACAGTAAGCTGCGGATCACACCCCCTACGTGTGTCCGCTTGCGCTGACGTTTCGACCTTAGCCGTGAACAGATTGGACAGGCTTACCTCAGGTTTGATGATCCTCCCACTCAATTCCGCACTAGCCAATACGCTCTCGAAGGAGTTCGTGAATGGCGAGGTTAGGAAAGAGTACGTGGCTCGGTGTAAGGGCAAGTTCCTAGAGTAAGTAGCGTGCAGGTTCTGTGCATATTCACCCGAGGTTGAGAGTACGGAATATAGGGAAGAGATCGTCTGCGAAGAGCCCCTCCTCACCGTGGACAGGCAGATGGGTCTGAATATCGTGCATCCTGAGGGCAAGGTGAGTGGATGCGGAGATCGAAAGCGCGTATATACTGATAGAGCCGTCACAGCCTGCGAAGACTATCTTCAATCGCCTGCATTATGACGAGAACACTGACACCAGCGTGCTTCGCTGTGAGTCTTTGTCATCTACTGACCAACGGCATATTGGCGTTACTGACACTAAACCCTCCCCCACGTTTGTAACCATAGGTCGTCCTCTAACTGGTCGATGTGAGCTCTCTGGCGGCCATATAAATCTTATTTCCAGCCACTGACAGTGTGCACCTAGCGCACCAGATCCGTGTACACCTGCAATACCTCGGCCACCCCATCGCAAACGACCCCATCTATTCAGATGCTAGAATTTGGGTACGTTTTGCACCTTCCTCTGCGCCATAGGCAGATACTCACGGCGTTTTGAAACGCAGGGCGAGAGCCTTGGCAAGGGCGGGATCGACCTCGCTCCGAGCGAAGAGCGCGCCGCTCCGCAGGCACCCGTCCAGTTCCAGTTCGACCCTTCGAACAACCCGGAAGCAATCAACCGCGCTGTCGAGGGGGAGGAGGTCGGAGTTGCGGAGAGGAAGCTGCTCCCGCGTGAGACGGGGCACGACATTGGGATGGGCTCCCCGGTGCCGCTCTCCGCCGAGGCTGTTGGAATCATCACGCGACTGAGAAATATGAAAGTGCGTCTCACCTCTCCCGCCTCCTAGCAGGGCGCAACAGGCTGACAAGCATGGTCTTGCGCAGGACGAGGCAGAGGACTGGGGTCGCTGGCGAGACGTCGTCTTCCGTGCCAAAGCAGCTCTCTCACCACATGGCTTCACGATCCCCCTTCCTCCCCAAAATAAGCGGAAACGCGGTGGGCCTGCCCTTGCGTCTGCACCGAGCACCCCTGCAGACAGCACACCCGGAACGCCCGCTGGTGCACTAGAAGCGGTGGCCATTGACGTTACTCCTGCTGCAGCAGAGGTTTCCGAGGAGTCGCTCATGAACCAACTCACCCCCGACGATGTCGCCAAGCTAGCAGTAAGTTCGGCTGCTTCTTCAACATCCGTGCCTTCTCCCGCGCTCGCCTCTGAAGTACCTATACCTGACCCGACGCCTCCACCTGTGGCGGAATCCTCCGCGCCGGACACGCCCGATGTTGTATCGGATGTCGATGGTATGCACTATTGTCCGGAGTGCTTCGTTCCGTTGCATCCGGACCCGAAGCCGGAGTCATTGTATATCTTCCTGCATGCACTGCGCTACACAACGAGTTTAGGTACCTTCGAGACGGAGACGCCCGAGTGGGCGGCAAAAGATTGGGAGTGGGAGCGGTAGTTTTGTCGGGTGTGTAGCGTATCTATGTAGCCTGTTGCGAATGGATATCTACCGCAAGTGTGACAGGAATCTAAGCATGAGGAAAAGGTGTGTCTATGTCGGATCGTGGACATGTCATCAGAGGGATCGTAAGTACCGGGTTGGTGAACGAAGTATATCGGTTTTTGGATTATTGTCAGCTAGTCTGCGCGCTCGCGCTCCTCGCCAGGCTTCGGCCACATCTCACGAGGCAGGAGTGTCGATACGATCGACAATATCACGCTAAACGGGATAAGGATCGCGTACACGCCATATCCGCCTAGCCAGTTGCGCTCCAGCGACGTTGCGAAGAGCGACGTCGACGCCGCGGGACCAATGGCTCGCACGACCGCCGCGACCACCTGCGCGACACCGTTCGTCGCACCGAGCAAACGACTATCTGGGACGGAGGACGTGATGAAGAGGAAGATCGCCCCGAAAGACATATCCATTATGACTAGTAGGAGCTGCTGCACCCCAACCATCATCCACACGACCCACGTTAGGCCGTGCACGCGCGCGTAGAGGTTCATGAGAGGGTAGAGCACGTACAGGGGAGCGAACATGGAGAGCCCGAGCTGGAAGACACGCTTCGGGCCCCACGCGTCAATCAGGCGCGCGAAGAAGAGGGCTTGGAGGATGCCGTCGGCGATGCCGAGCGTGCCTAGGATGGCGCCAATTGTTGGGGGCTTGAGGCCGAGGCCCCCGAGAGCGATAGGGGTGGAGAGGAAGAGGGGCATGAGTACGAGGAAGGCGATCTCGACGAGCGCAAGGACGCCGTAGTTGGCAATGGAGAGGACAACGGGGCGCGTGAGGACACTGCTGAGGGGAGGAGGGCCTTCGTCTTCACCCGGCACAGTGAGGCCTGATTCGGAGGAGGGGCGACGCTTTTTCACTGTCTGTGAGAGATGTTAGCCGTTACAGCTCTTCAGGGTGTTGCGGTGTGACGCTGTGAGGGACGTACCTCCTTGAGGAAGAGCACAGTGATCACGAAGCAGAAAGCGGAAAATAGCGCGGCGGCAGCGCAAGGCAGAAAATATGGATATTCTATCCAAAATGGGTGTGTGAACACGTTCGGCCATCGGTCGTGTGGCTTGGCTAGCTGGCCTCCTATAGTGGGTCTGTGGACAACGTCGATGAGCATTGGGATCTTCATTATTTCCGGAGTGGAGTCACACATACCCAATTGTGACTCCCACAGACCACGAAACCGGTATCCACGCGAAGCCTTGGGCGATATTCGTTGAATCCGTTAGTTCTAGAGATCGAAGACTTCATGAGCCGCTACTCAATGTGGACGCGGAACGGACGACCTGCCTCCCATCATGCTCTTCATGACACCTGTGTTGCCGTTCAGCATTCCCACCAGACTTCGACTAGGGATTGTTAGCTTTCGGTGACGTGGATAGTAGGGTATGGCATTTGTACCTCAAAACGAGCGTTATAAAGGTTTTCGAGAGACCGAAACATATCATGGAGAGACAGCATCCTCCTATACCAATGAGTAGAACAGGCTTGCGACCAATGTGATCGGATAGCCTTGACCATTGGAAGACGAATAGAGCCTCCGTCGCAAAGAATATAGACTCCTGGGTCACTTCGGTCGGCTATGCCAGAACTTTGGGAGGTACTTTGTGAACAACTCACGATTAGCCCAGCATAATACCCGACCTTCTTCGCATCTCCACCAGTAATGTCGAGCTCGCTTATTAACTAAAAGTCCGGGAGTTCAGTTGTTGTAGACGACACTGGGTTGACGAGATCCCGAGCAAACCTGATTGATGAACGGAAAAATGCAATGCGAAGTGATTGGTTCAGAGAGTTGCAGAAGCATCAATATCGCGATCTGCAGCTTGGGCAGAGGCGTCGATTTCTTCTGCTTCGTCCCCTCTCCCACACCCAGTAGCGGCCGTGTCTCTTCCTCTATGCTGCTCATGTCGGGGGAGAGATCACGTAGTCTCGGAGAGGCTGCGATATGCTCAAAGCCCGGATTAATTGAACTTATCAAGCATCATTGAACGCCCGACACTAAGGCGGACGAGTCATCAACCGAACGACCGAGCCATCACCGCCCCACTTCTTGACCGGAAAAGCAGCACTATTTTATGCATCAGCAGCATGTAGGATGCGTCCTTAGGCGAGTGCCGAGTCGCTTAGCAAATGATTTTCGATTTTCAGGTACTTAGCTACAAATTATCGGAGTACGCCGGAGATGGGGTTCTTGCGGATCATATGGTTATTTAGACGATTGTGCGTAGACAAGCTACTATCGCGACCCCAGTGTTCGGACAGACCCCAGTGTTCGGACAAACGACCGTATCTCCGTCATTGTACACCCGATAAACTTGCAAGTTGAAAGGTAGGTGCTCATATGTGTTCCAAATCAGCAGAAAAAAGAACTGAATTTGTATCATAAGCCCTTGGGGCGATCTTGAGGAATGGAGTGGTGCAACCCATCCCTATCAAAGCTTCGGGAGCCTCGCTTCGTATCCCTCTTCGGGCGCTTCCATCCAAATCTCGTGTACGTATTTCAACCTACGCATATTACTCAATACCCAAATTTTCCGAGGCCTGCTCAGGGGAACACAGAGGGGAAACAAGAAGCAGCCCTCGAGGGCGTGACAATGCAGCCACAGTTTGACTCTCCGACTTGCTCGGGATGCTCGGCTAAGGCTCATCAAGCTGGAGAACGGGGATTCCCCGAAGACCGGCAGGTGTCGGCAAGCGTGACAGATCGTGACCTGCTGTGCGGAGAATTGTCCGAACACTGGGGTCAGGCCCTGTATATCCTGCCTCCATCGCTCGTGTCTCCTTCAATATTTCTCATGTTTGGCACATAGTCTATGCATATGCATCTCCTTTTGCATGCCAAAAATGAGCATTATCGGAGTACAGGAAAGTACATAAAACGAAGGGAATTCGCAGAGGGCGCCTTTTTGTCCGAACACTGGGGTCGCGATAGTAAGGTTGGCCCAACGAAGATTCGACCCCATCACGTGATTATCACGTGAGCTTGCGAGGTCCCTCGCTGCTTTCCCCTCCCTCTGCATTGAGAAAAA